TCTCCTTGGTCGGAGGAGTGGTGTCCCAGTACCACGACCCTGCCACCTCTGAGGGTGAATCCTGATGTTGGAAACGAGTGGAAGACAACTTGCGCCGGCCATTCTGGAGCTCTACCAGCCGTTGACGAAGACGAGATCGAGAGACCAACCGGCAAGTGAAGCAAGTGAAGGTTTGCATCTATTTGTATGGAGGGGGCTGTGGGCGTATCGAGGCAATTTGGAAAAGAGAGGTGTGTCAGTGACGGCGAGAGAGGGATTCTATACGAGATGTAAGGTACGAGGTAATGGACCTCAAAATGCAGCGCGCAGCGACTTGGAGATTTGGAAATTTTGAAGATGCGCGTGTCGAAAGGGAAGCCGATCCCGCCAATTACCATCGAACACCCCGTCCAGCTCGCCATTTCCCATTTCCCCACATGGTGACACTGTAGAAGAGGACGCTCAAGACGCTCAAGACGCTCGACCTACTGAGCAGCGTACGTGCGTATCTCATCTGCGAACTGGTTGGCATCATTCTCTCTCAATCCAGCTCCTAGTGTCGCCATATCGTCCACGATGATCAACGCTGTTCTGGTCTTCAACAATAACGGCCAACCGCGACTGACCAAGTTCTATTCTCAACTAGTAATGTGGGATCTATTGAACCAAACAGCGCAAGTGCTGATTGCAGGTCTTTAGGACACGGCGACTCAGCAGTCTCTTCTCTCCCAGATCTTCAATCTTGTGTCAGCTCGACCAGCTTCCGCCTGCAACTTCTTGCCTCTTCCTCCCCTGTTGGCTCCCACCGGCACGGGCATCAAGACTTCACCAGACGCACCCACCCAAATCACCTATCGCCATTATGCCACCCTCTACTTCATCTTGATCTCGACCTCCACCGAGTCTCCTCTAGCATTGCTGGACTTCATCCAGGTGTTTGTCGAGGCTCTGGACAGACTGTTTGAGAACGTCTGCGAACTCGATCTGATTTTCGGGTTCGAAACCTTGCACGCCGTTCTTAGCGAAATGGTCGTCGGAGGTGTTGTTGTCGAGACAAACCTGGACAAGATTGTGGATGGTGTCAGAACAACCGAGGGCGTCAAGGGGAAAAGGAAAGCCGTCAATGCCAACGACTCTACCGGCTCCATCGGGAGAGGCACGGGATTTGCTGGTCTTAGATGGGCCACTGGTTCAGGAAGGAGCTGGAGGTGAATTTCAAACTCAGATGTGGGTGAAAAAAGGTGCCACATCTCGAAAATCCCTCAGATTGAATCCTGCAACTCCAGAGGCACGAAATCTTGAGCCACGGCGGTTGAACAGCAGTCCCGAAAGGATCGCATGGAGCCAGAGCATCTCAGTTTGCCTTGGGAGTTGACCCCCGGGCAGCGCGATCAGCGATGTCGAACTTGGTGTTCACACACCTCACTGCGGACTTCTACGCAAATACGATTTCGATGTGAAAAGAAAGTGCAACCCGCGAATGGACTGTCACATGCGCCTGTGTGTGATGAGGATCAAGCATTACAAAAAAGGTTCGGTTCAGGTGCGTGCTGGCAGTGAGACTATACCCCGTTTTCGAATACATCAGAGAGGTCCAATAGTTCTACTAGCACGGGGGCGGCACTATTGGAATTCGCTAACTGAACGACCACTTAGCCCTGAAAGATATTCACTGCTAGTCCATGTCTCTGAGGGAAACGAATGACAGAAGGCATGAGTAAAGTCTTGAATCGCGGACTGAGGTGTCTGCACCGCCGGCGGCGTCTATAGGAGCAATCGGATACGCTTACCAGCAGGCGAAGTCACCATCACTCGCAAAGGGAAGAGGCTGCGGCTTCGTATTGTGTTGGGTGTTATCGGCTCGGCACGGAAAGACGAAAGAGGTTCGGGCCAGTGCGCAATTCGATTCATGGATCAGCGAGAATTGGTGGACGTGGACATTCTTGAGGGCACAGGTGTGTGATGGCACAATTTGCGGGCACGGTATTGGTGAAGCCTTCACAGGGAGATGGCTCTTTCGGGAAGCATACGGTGGTGCTAGTGACACTGGAAGCACACAACGCAGTATGATGCAGGATGCAGGATTCAAGGATCTGGATCCGATAGCTTGGGAGTTTCCCGGTGAACTGCTCCTCTGCCCGTTGGTGCTGTGTGATAGAAACAATTGGGACAAGGTTGGATTCGAGCAGCCACATTGAAATGTTTCCGGGCGCTTAAAAATAGGATGTGAATGGAGGCTCAGGCTGTCAGATGGCCGAATCTTGGACCATTCCAGTTAGAGTCCCGGTGAGCCCCTCATGGTCCCTTCGCCCAAGGTCCCCGCCATCCAGGCACCCGAGCGCCCCCATAGGCCAACCCAACGGCAACGGGGGCTTGCTTGGGGCCTAGAGGCCCTCCCCTCTTGGGCACTTGGGTGCTCTGCCTTGTGATTTGCCCCTCGGCGTGCTTCACCCTGCAGACCGCATCCTCGTTTTCACTCGCTTTCACAGCTTTCCACTTCTCACCTCGTACCAATCATCGCAGCAGGCGGCTTGCTGGTCGCTACTCAGCAATCATGGTCAGGTACATCTACCGCCGTGATCGCTCTTTAAAGTGCAACCAGCTGCTTCATATCCCTCCCGGCCAGGGGGTCAGCGGTTTCAGGTTCGCGGCGCTGGATCATGTCGACAGCTTGATCCGCCTACAAAGATGAGTTGCTCCTCTTCGCTCTTGACCCTCTCGATTCTCATCTTTGTCTCTGTCCTCATCATCCCACCCACTGCTGCTCGGCCACACTCTATCTGGGACGTCGATATCGACAGAGACCCCGCCCCTCCGCCAGACCAAGGCCCTCCCCTCTCCGCGGGAGCCCTCCGAGACAAATCCAAGCTCAAATACGAGATCATTGGCATAGTTGGCGCCTACGTGGTTTGGCTGATCATCACTCTTGTGCTGCTTTTCCTTGTTGGCAAGAAACTGCGCCGCAGAGTCCAGACCTCGAACCGCAGTCTCAGCATGGAGATCATCAAGCCAGCTCCACTCGCCAATCAGCCCAAGATGAATGTCGAACCGCCTTTAAAGAGCCCCGGTAAAATGGCCAGCCTCAGATCTTGGGCTACCGGCAAATCGCATTCCCATAAACAGTCCAGCATCAGTGTTTCTTCCACCATCGACGAGAAGATCATCGAGGCCGACAAGGCAAAGAACAGGGATGAAATGGCAAGGCTGTATGCTGCTGTTATGGCACACGACGAAGAAAAAGCCAGAAGTAGCGGCCAAACCTCGCCTCGGACACCCAATTACCCACCTCAATACAATGCTCCGCCCACACCCCGGTCACCTCATCATCTCCCACCTACTCCGAGGTCACCTTACTACCAGCCCAATCTCAACCTGAATGGGCCGGCCTCACCAAGGTCGCCTCGATATCCTCCAGAGTTTCAGCATCTGCGACATCCCGACACGGAAGCTCAGGACCACGGCATTCAACCAGTTTCACAGGCATTGGTTCACCCTCTTGCACCCACTCCTGCCGACGATGCTCCCTCAACAAGGACAGGGTCGCAGACCAGCAGCCGAAAGAAGGTGTCGCCTTTATCTTTCATCTCAGGCCGCAGTGATTCGGCCGATCAAACCAAGAAGCGCCCGAGTAATATCTCGGTTCGCGGTCAGCCCATCTCGCAGCCACTAGGTTCTGCCACTCTCACCGACCCCTCGATGTATTCAGAGGATGCTATTTCTTCCCCTCGCATTTATAACCCGGGTCCAGCTCCACCAACACCAGGCCAGAAGTCCGCCGTGACCGCCGTTGAGGAAATTGAGAAGAAAGGTCCCCCGGCACCTTTGTCTCTCCGCAGTACTGCAGCCTCCAACAGCTCCAGTAGCTTACCCTTCCGTCAATTCTACAATGATGCACTTAAGAGCGCACCTGCAACCAAAACAACTTTCGTGGACCGTCGGGAGAGTATCCTGGGCGTGCACCCGAAGACGGGAGTGCCTCAGACTCCCTATAGTCCCTACATGCCTTACACACCTATGACACCAGTGACGCCCCGGTCACTCGTGACCAAGAAAGAGATGAAGAAGAACAGGAAGAAGGAAGGGTTGAAGGTGCTGACTGAAGACGACTTGGTGCTCTCGGATGAGGATCTGTGGAGTCCGATGAAGTAGGTCCCATGTTGGCTCACGATGTCCCTTTTTGTCTAATTGTCGTCTCCTTGTCTCATTTCTTCCCTTCCTCAGCCTTAGCCCGAGCATGCGGGCTCTGCTCGACGGGGTGTCGGTGAGGCCGGGGAGAGTGTGCAGTGTACATTTAGGCCGCCTGAAATGGCGAAGATTAGATATCCTCGACCGAGACCAACACAGATGTCGATGACAATGAACTTTATTGAGAAGATTACAAAGTGCATAGCAAGCCTGTACTGAGTACGGAGCACAAATTTAGGTGAAGGCCCTTCTGGACCCCGTAGCCACTTTCTGCAAGACCCCAGCACGTATATACAGTGACTGTTGCGGTGGAAAACAGGTCGTACCCAGCGCAGTTGAAGAGCGCCCGATAGCGATGCAGCACCCACCTTTTGTCTACTCCGTAGAGATACGTGTAGAGGATCGAAAGAAGAGCACTGTTTCCTGCTGTTGTGCGAAATGTCACACGTATTCAATAAATTATTGTTCAACATCCGATATTCAATATTCATTCATCGAGCGGGGTGTAATTAGAAGGTAGTGTCCATTCCCAGCCATCCATATATATACTCCGTACATACTTCCATGTACTCATAGGTATCTCAGGATCCAGAAATTGTCCTGTGGAAGAATGTAACGCATCTCTGTATCGCCAGGAGAGATAACAAAGGAAAAAGGAATGGAAAAGAAAGAGGCGACGAGATTCCCTTGGATATACGCCCCCAACCAATGCATGCGACAGCGAAACTTCCACGCCTCCATGTTCTTTTTCTTCTCTCTTTCCGCTGTACCACTTCGGCGCATAGCTATCTCCCTCCGCTCGAGTCCACTGGTACATCCCTCTTTTTATTTTCATGCTAACGCTCCGCAAACCTACTCCTCGACCTCAGCATCGCCCCATATCTCCACAGATACGCCATGCCCAGCACCCCAGCGGCACTGACGCCGGCGAGGACGCTAACGCCCTTGTCCACACCCCAACTGACAAAGACTGCCCGACTACCCATGACCACACCAGCAGCCAAGGATCCTCGCGACATGTCGTACGTGGCGGACAAGGAGGCAAAGTATTTCCGGTAGGACAGGGAGATGTAGATGATTGTGCATTGGAACACGACGTAGCTGCCGCCGGAAAAGAGCGCTATGCCGATCGTCGGGACTATCCAGTGGAAGGCCGGATGTTCGATACCGTTGGCATCGCGCGAGGTGGCGGTGGCAGTCCAGGCGAAGAGGAACAGACCTGCTGGGCAGAGCACGCTGAACGGCATGGAGGGAACCAGCCAGCGTTCTTGCGGGATGGCCGCGTTGATGTGCAGCCTTTCTAGACCTGAGGCGAGAGATTGAGGTTGGCTTGAGTCGTTACTCGCAGCAGCGGCGGCTGCGGCCGAAGCGACTTTTTTGACATCTGCACGAGCCCGAGGAGTAAAGTAGAGCTGGAGGTAAATAGCATAGATGACGGCGCAGATTCCGGCGCCAATGATTGCAGAGAGAAATATCAGTCCTATGGCACCAGCAGAGAACCCATATCTGTCGTGGTAGACAAGGGGGAAGGCCTGCAGTGGTTTGTGGTCAGTGGAAGGTATCCTCAAACTCCATTTGACACTTCATTCGCGGACGGAGTTTCTGAATAACAGAAAATAGGCAAGACGCACCTCGAAATACGAGTAGTAGGTCGCATACACGACACCGCCATATACGGTGACGAAGGCAATAGCTGGATCCTTCATTGCGATCTCTGTCGGTTTAATGAGGGCGTCCATAAACACTTTGGCAACGCGCACTCTCTTGATTTCTGACGGAGCCCGATATTTTGGATCACCTGTGAATTTTCTCATGCGCTTTGCCCGTTGAAGCAGTATGTAATCCGCGCTCGTCTCTGGCAGCAAAAGGATCAGTGGGACCAGGCCACCTGCCATGATCGCCACCTCCCAGTATGGCCATCTGAAGTCCCTCACGACGGCGTAGCCTGATAGGAGTGGACCAACCGCAGGACCAGCATACATTGCGCCGAGCCAAATCATGTAGCCGTATGGCGATTCAAACTCATCAAAAATGTCGTCGTAGGAAGCCGCACCCGTGGCAAGGATCGGGGAGCCGAAGTAGCCTTGAAGGAAGCGTAGAATGCATATGGTGGCAAAGTTGAGATCTTGCACCTGTGTGAGAGCTATTGAGAGGGCGAGGAAAGGGAGGAAGGAGGCCCAGTATGGGATGTTGCGACCGATCCACGGTATTTCCGACAAGGGGGCAAACACCAAGGGACCTAAAGCATAGCCGAGAACGTAGAGAGCGAGGATCAAGGAGACAGAGGTCTCATTGAGGCCGTGCTGAGGGGCGATGTACGGGTAGGACGGTGTTGTGATAGACGAAGTGCAGTAGACGACAAATGTGTAGATACTATCCATAACTGAGGTCAGCGGGTGAGATTCTGCAGAGGAGAAATATTCTCTGCGCCGGGTCGGGAGACAGAAGAGGGCCTTCCACATACAAAATGATGAAGCTCGTCCATAGTTTCTTCGCCGTTGAGAAGTTCCGCGGGTTTTCAGGATCTGTCGGGCTGTACCAGTCGACTAGGACGAGGTCATCGGCGTTCGTGCCTTTCTTTGCAAGGACTTCAGGGTCGGCTTCGGCGTTGACAGGAGCCTGAGTAGCCCGATCTGCATGTTGCAATCTCCTGTTCCTCAATATTTCAAGCCCGTTTCCATCTTCAGTGTATTTCAGAAGGTGGCCTCCTGAAACTAGTCGAATTAGTTGACCGAGGGGGGTGTCCCTCAGAAAACTAGCCATTTGATAGGTGACCCGGCGGGACATTGAGGAATAGAAAAGACGTTGGGTGGCAGTGGGAAACTATCTTGGTACACCTGCTTATGATTGTGACTCCAGAAGCCTCTTATACCATTGAGAGCATGGAGTAGTGCCAGAGGAAATATCAGACCGACTTCCCGAATAGTTCGGCCGTACTGTACTGCCGTGAAAACATAGTCAGAAATAAAACACGGTAGATTGCATTACTTACTCAGGGGGCTTGGTCAGCGAGCGCCGTCGTCACATAGACGGCACTGGTGTTGTGACCCTGAACAAGCCTTTTCCAATCGTGTCTATCATGTTACCCCGAAAGAGCATGATTGGTGCCAGGCCACAATTTCATAATCGTTCTCGACTTGGCGCTCCGGGGCATCGACTCGCTACTGAGAGATGCAGCTCTCTGCAGCAGGATAGCGGAGGATATCATAGCTCTTTCGGAATAGGCCCCTGTTATAGACCGCTTTGATAAGCAAGCATGAGGACTTTGGGGGGTTCGGACTGGCCGTCGCCTTGGAGAAATTCGCTGTCACTTGCCACCGCGTTGTGGAGATATAGACATGGTAGCTTAGATTATTTTTCAGTAAGGGCACTCTCCGAGCTCGACAAGTCATGTCAATGCAACGTCAATTGTGTACTGTCCCCAACACCGCCACATTACTTCGAGACTTTCTCGCGAGACCTGGTCATTTTGCGATGGTAGACTGAGGAGTGCCAATATCCTCGCGCCAAGATACCTGGATCCGCGCTGGGAGATGGAGGCTTGCCAGGGCAAGGGCACAGTAGATGCTATCCAAGATCAGAAGATAGCGTCCGCATGATTGACAGCTCCGAATTCTGACGCAAAAAGGCAGCAACCCATCTTCAGAGTCGGTGGTGTAATTCACCCGAAGCTGCAGCAGAGGACACTGAAGCGCGCAGAAGGGCGCTCAAATTTTAGTACCTGGTGAGAATCTCGTAAACGTTCAACCCAGCGCCAGCGCCAGCGCAGGTGAGCAACTAATGACAATCACAGCAATATGGCATCTGCGGAGATTTGGTCACATCAGCACGATTTGGACACTTTGCCTTATGGCAAATAGCCCGATTGAGCATCAAGCGCGAGCAAAAGATGCGACTTGGCGAGGCTGGGTGGCATGAGCGGTATAGGCTGTGCGAAGAACCTCATATCAAAGTTGTTCCGATGGATCTGGACACGAGGCTGGTCTAACCATAATCGATTAGACTCAGCTTACATAACCCGTTTTGTTTCGTGCGAGTCTACACTACGGCCGTTGAAGCGGCCGATAACTGCTGAACTAAAAAGACAAAGAAATACGGGTTTCTGAGTCCTGATTGCGGATGAGACTGGCCTGGACAAAGATCTATCCGTTTGGCTCATTTACATCCGTCGTGTATTGGATATACCAGAGTCTCGGATCTGATGGTGATGCGAGGCTTGCCGCCTTGAGGCTGGTGTCAGCTAGGAACAATATCTTGAAGCCAGCGTAACGAGGTCAGCCATGCGTCTCAGAGGAAGTGAAATCATGAGATCCTTCGCTTGCGTCGTCTCGTTCCGGACGCGTGAATTGAAGTTAAGAAGCCCGCCGACATATTCGTCCCGAGCCTCGACCTTCTTCTCGCATTTGTACTCCGTATTTTTGCCACTGTGGAGCAGCAGTCCCCCCGCCATCAAGCAGTCCAATATCCATGATTTTGCCCGCAGGGAACCTCGAGAAGAATTGATGGGGTTAGCAGCGGAACAGATAGCTCGAGACTTTTGCTGAGCTTAGGCTCTCGGCGCACGGCACGGTAGGTAACAGCATGCGCCGATACTCTGACACCAACTTGATAGTCCCCTCGTTCACCATGCAGGCCGATAATGAGATTATCCTCTGTTACTGCGAAAGCGACAATTGAAAAGCAAAACTGTTACATTGAAACCAGGCGCTTGGTCTAGACCAGGCCTGTCGCGATTGGAAGGCAATTTTGACAAGAATGAGAAGAAATAGCGAGAGAGGTTGTCAGCTTGATGACTGATGTTGGGCGGTTCATGTGTGGCAAGCAAGGTGAGATAGGGAGCATCAATTAGCGTGGGCGGGTGAGTGGGCTACAATTGGCGGTGTTCATAACTGGACGTACAAGTAGAGGGGCTAGGGATGCCTGGGCGGCACTCAAGGATACCTCAGTCCAGTAACCTACTAGGTTACACAAGCCAAGTGATTCGTGGCATTAGTTAAGCCAGGCGTGCTCGCTCTTGAGAAACATGTGCCTGGACTTAGGCCAATCGTCGTAGTTAGAGGCTGTTAGTCATTGTCTTAGTACTGGTGATCATGATCATTGCCCCTGCCATTAACATTGCCACATGTCGCATCAGCAAACCTCAACCCTCGACCTCACAGGCTCACAGCATATTTTGTCCGGCCAAGTTTGTTTCTGCTTGGCTCATTATTCATCGCGAGGGAAACCAGGTCAAGTTGCTGGGAACTCTGACCTGGGCAAGCGTACCTCCTCCAGAAGACATTGGGACTGGCTATAGAAGTACATACGCCATATCTCCTCCACTACGTCGATAGGGACCACCGTTGGCGGCATCTCCAGGCCAAACATGCCCCTAACCGTCCTTACCGATTCAGATGTCCGAGAACTGCTCTATACCCTAACGAAGGAGGACATCGACGAACTCCAATCCAATCTTGCCGAAGCCCTCCACTCATATTCGACCGGTGACAACAACTCCCCCTGCTGCGCATCTTTCCAGCCACAGCGGACAGTTATCAAGAAGAATGGCGTCACCACCCTCTTCATGCCAGCGTCCACAGGGACCTCTGTAGGGATGAAGATCGTTTCGCTCCAGCAACCCGACACCCCCGTTCACAGCAAATCTTCAGCCTCGTCCGGCACCTCTGAAAGTCTTGCAACCACTTCAGGCAGCATGTCGTCCTCTACCTCGGTCAGGTCTGCAACGAATGACTTCGGCTCCATGACCCTCACTCCATCATCCACCATGTCATTGGGGAGGGACTCAATCGATGGCTCTTCGTTCCAAGCCCCGACTTCGGTTGTCAGCTCCCAAAGCACCACACCAAAAGGGTCCGTCACTCTACTCGACTCCACTGGAAATCCCATGGGTATCGTTAATGCCGAAGAACTCACAGCTTTCAGGACGGCGTTGGCTTCCACTCTGATGCTTAAGAAGCGCCAGAACGTCCACACCGTGACTGTCTTTGGTGCAGGAAAACAAGCATATTGGCACATCAGGTTGGCACTGATGCTCAAAGGCGACCAGATCCGACATGTCAACATCATCAACCGCAACTTTGAGAGGTCTATCAAGTTGATGAAAGCGTTCCAAATGACACAGGAGTCGAAGGAGCAATGGCGTAAAGACATCAAATTCTCAGCCATGAGCCCCGAATTTGGCGAATATGGCCGGCTACTGAAGGAGGAGGTTCGAAAAGCAGATGTCATTTTCTGCTGCACCCCGTCCGTCGACCCCCTATTTCCTGCTGAGTTCCTGACATCGCGCGAAGGCCGCAGGAAAGGCAGGTATATTGTTGCCATTGGCTCATACGCTCCACACATGTGCGAGCTTCACCCCGACATCATGAAAGTTGCCGTTGAACCTAATCACGGAGGCCATCATCATCACCGACATGCTAGGCAGGGCGGAGTGGTTGTTGTCGACAGCCTAGAATCGTGCTTGAGGGAAGCAGGCGAGATCGTCAAGGCGAAATTGAAACCAGAGCATTTAGTTGAGATTGGAGAGCTCATGATGATCAAGAAGGCCGCAACTAGGGAGATAGAGCTTGGGGGACCGGGCGAGCAAGGGCTCGTCGACTGGCTGACCAAGGGCAACGTCATCTACAAGAGCGTGGGTATGGGGCTGCTGGATCTAGTGGTCGCTGGCGATCTCATACGAATGGGCAAGGAGAGGGACGTTGGTGTGACCATTGAGGATTTCTAGGTTGCACTGGAGAAACGTTGTGCGTTGGTTGGGACGACGACTTTCTCCGCCTTTTTCTCCTTTTCTGTTGGGCTGTTTGCCACGATGGCGTATCACTGTTGGGCGGAGCATTCCCTTTGTTGCTTTTTCTCTCTTTAGATTCCCACATGAGGTATAAAGAATTGTATTCAAGTGACTGCGCACTCCAGTCAACCATAGGTGCATATGCAGGTACCAATCCTGACAGTATGAATACATGTCTTGAGGGGCATAGTGTTTGTATTAGGTAGGACATAGTACGTTCCTGAGGGCGGCAGATGATAAGAAGGCGGATGGCGACAACAGCGAAACGCTGTGGCTAGCCTGCAGTTCATTAGAAGTCCTTAGACGTAACCTGAGCTTACCTCGTCGATTGTCAAAATGCGGCTTGTCAGACTATGGCATTCATAGCTGGCTCGCTGGCTCCCCGTGCCCGGTTCCCCTTTGTTTTCTTTTCTCTCTTACCGAGTACTCGTAGGGACTGACCCTTGGAGATCAGCCCCGCCTCCTCCAAAGACCCAGTCACCCCTCGCCGCTTACCACCCCAAATGCCTCTCTTATCACTGGCAAGCTGTCCACTGTCAGTCCAGTCAACCCAGGCTAGCGCCAGCCGATTCGTAGGTGGCGGGGCACAGTGGGCGTCGTTCCTGAACGCCGCAGACATAGGTACTGGGCACTCCCAACGTCATCTTCCCCCTTTGGCACAATGGCCCATGCCCTTGTTGGAGAGAAAAAGCTTGCTGGACACAAACCAAACTCGAGTTGTGTTTCGATATAGCAAAAAGAGGCCGAGCGCAGTATAGTGGCAAGGTCGGTGTCGCGGTGTGAAATCTCTTACAGGTGGCTGTTTCCTGCTACTCAAGGTACAACTGATTTAGCGTGCTGTGTAACTCGGGTGAGTTCTGCTCAGAGTCCCTCCTCCTCCTTTGTCGCTTCCCGGAGGTTGGAGCTCGCTAGCGTCCACAGTGGTCGAATATCCGCGGTCATCGTTGAGATCGCCAAAACAGAGGTCGACAAATCCCACAAGTGTGGTTGTGACATTCCTATGTACAAGCATCGCATCAGTCAATCACTAGTCTTCTTCTACCCCAAATCGAACTGTTCTCCCTGTTCTATCGCTATCATGCCCTGAAGAGTCAACCCCATCATGGTCCAGCACGTCTATTTGCCGAATGGGTAAGTTGCCCCTCCCTTGAGAAAGAACTCCGTGTTTTCGAGAGAGGTGTTCGATGCCGCTGGTCTCCAGCATGCTTGATGCCAGCTAACAGGACCTGGCAGGCAGATATACACAGTCACTCCCGTCTTTGGCGGGTTCACATTCAAATCGACCAACCTCGATTTGCATCATTCGGCAATGCCCCCGGGATGGACCGTGATCCTTCAGACAGAAGACGAGGTGGAAGACGAAGAGCGCAGAAGCAGTAGGGTGTCAGTCAAGCCCAGCGGGGACACGGAAGACGCAGGACAGAAGCATACCGTCACCCACCGATTTACCAAACCCACCATCCAGAGCGACTCCCTCTTCATCTCGTCGATATCCATGCCGTCGAGTTCGGACTTTAGAAACACCGCCTCGCCGACCCGACACATTGCGATGATGCTTTGGGCGACTTTGTGCTGGTATTTCCACAAGGAGCCTCCGAACCCCCACGCTCTCACCGAGGCATCAGCGTTGACCCCAGAGGCAGGGCGACCGAAGCTTGATTGGCGCATCAAAATCAAAAGAGAAGGTATTTTCAAGGGGAAGAACACCCTGCAGAAACTTGAACGCATGGGTTTAATAGCAAGCGAGGACTCCTGTGTGGGCACCGATACCAACACTCGATTGCCCAGCGGCTGGGCGGAGACATTTGTGAGCAGAAAGTCATTTTGGCAGATCGATGCAAGGATCTTCCTCTATACAATGGCGCCTCAATCGCATTCCCCATTTCCTCAAGCCTCGCCCTACCCTTCTCGGCCATCTTCACCAGATCGGACCGTTCCTGAACGTGGTTCACCACGACCTGCCGACTATGGAACAAATACTGCAATATCGGACACCTTCAGCTCGGGCATCTGGTCGCCTGGAGGACCTTTTAACTCTGGAAGCCATCTACCTACCTTCTACCCTCCCCCGCCCACCCAGTTCACCTTTACCAACCATATTCGTCATCCGATACGCCCCAAACCACCACGCCAGGGTGAATCATTTTATACCCGCTATATTCCTAGTCTTGGTCAATGGCTTTCCTTCCGGGTACCAACACTGTCCCCGAAACCATGTCCTCAAGCCCATTTTGTGCCCGGGTCGTCTTCTATGCCGGCAGTGCTGCCGAGTCACTCCGCAGCCGCATCCATAGCAACATTGCCGACGATGGACAACTTCCTGGATCGGCCTTCTGACTTGGATTTGCTTCACAAGTGGATGAATGACCCTCGAGTCAATTCGGCATGGGGTGTCGCTGGTCCGCTAAGTACGCAGCACAAATTCTTGATTGACGGCCTCCAAAGCCGACACTCGTTCCCTGTCTACGGCTGCTGGGACGGCAAACCATTTGGATATTTTGAGATATATTGGGTGAAAGAGGACCGATTGGGCCGACTACTTGGGGGAGAAGTTGGCAATTATACGCGCGGGTTGCATGTGCTAATTGGTGAAAACGAGTTCCGAGGCCCACATCGAGTCAAGGTTTGGTTGTCTGCGCTGGTACACTATTGCTTCCTCGCGGACTCCCGCACCGAGACAGTGATGTTGGAGCCGAGGGTCGACAATGAAAAGTAAGGCATCCAATTACCAAAGCTTTTGGCAAGCAATTCGGTGACTAACTCGGGCCGCGCACACAGATTTATCACCTATCTGAAAGATGCGGGGTTTTACAAGCAAGGCGAGGTTAGCTTCCCGCATAAGCAGTCAGCTATCATGAAAATTGACCGAGAATCTTGGGAAGCGCCTGAGCTCTAGGAGAGTAGCGGACGCCAGAATTTATCTGCTCGGGTTAACAGAGAAGGTATGGGTGGGGACGGATCGGACATTTATACTTGTGTTGGTGGCTGTTTGACAGCGATCTTCAACCCGCACCTACTGTGTAATAGGCGTAGTCAATCGCACAGTATTGGAGCCGCAAAGCTATCCAAAAATTTGATCGATCCAACAACGCCACACAACATAGAGCTCCAGAAGGAACCCGAATGTTCGGTCAGAATCCAGCCTTGTCTCGCGACGGAAGGCAAGGCTGAGTCCACGTGACCAGCCTTACAACTCCGCAACAAGGCGGCGAGGCTGTCGAAGAAATAGTAAACTATTCGCCGCCAGTTTTCATGCTTCTACCCAACACTCTAGAGCGACTTTCACCCTCACGAACACATCGGAGGGCCGAACCGTTCATTGCCACTCAATTTTGCTATCATGGCGACCCAAATACCCGTCGATCCAACTCTTACCTCGGCCAACACACTTAAGCTTGAAAATGTGAGTCGTCTGCACACGGGCAGGAATAACCTGGACTAACCGACGATTTCTAGACACACAATCGAGACGTGCTGATCGCGATCGAAAAGAAGTACCAAAAAGAATGGCAGAAGAACAAAATCTTCGAATCGGATGCGCCTACAACGACCGAGATCCCCTTTGACTCAGTCCCCGCCGCGGAGATTCGAGAAAAATACCCCAAGTACTTTGGCACCTTCGCATACCCGTACATGAATGGTGCTCTGCATGCTGGACACAGTTTTACAGTCAGCAAGGTGGAGTTCACCGCGGGCTTCAACCGCTTGACCGGAAAGCGGGTGCTGTTCCCATTGGGGTTTCATTGTACGGGCATGCCAATCAAAGCATGTGCAGACAAACTCGTCGAAGATGTGAAGAAGTTCGGACAAAATTTTGAGAGATTTCATGGAGAGGAGGACGCGGCAGCACCAGAATCCAACGGAGCTGCCGTTGCGCCCACACAAGGAGTTAATGTGAAGGACGATCTCACCAAGTTCAAGAGCAAGAAGGGCAAGCAGGCCGCGAAGACGGTCAAAGCTAACTACCAATTCCAGACGATGCTGGCTATGGGAATACCCAGGGAAGAAATCCACAAGTTCGCAGACGCCAATTACTGGCTCGAATACTTCCCGCCAATATGTCAACAAGATCTGATCGATTTTGGAGCAAGGATAGATTGGAGGAGGAAGTTTGTCACAACCGACGCGAATCCGTACTACGACGCCTTTGTGCGATGGCAGATGAATCGCTTGCACGAGCTCAACAAGATCCTGTATGGAAAGAGATATACGATCTACAGTCCTAAGGACGGCCAACCGTGTATGGACCACGACCGGACCAAAGGTGAGGGTGTAGGTCCAACTGAGTACACAGCTCTAAAATTGAAGGTCAAGGAGTGGTCACCCGGAGCAGCAAAGGCGGTGGAGTCTAAGATCCCCCAGGACGCCAGTGTCTATTTCGTGCCTGCGACCTTGAGACCGGAGACTATGTACGGTCAAGTATGCTGTTTCGTTGGACCGAAGATCAATTACGGCATCTTCAAGGTCTCAGAGAAGGAATATTACGTGGTCACTAAGAGAGCGGCCTGGAATATGGCTTTTCAAGGTACTTTCTTTGAAGAGGAGCATTTCCCCCGTGATCAAAAGGAGTTGGAGCCTATTGTGGAATTGCCTGGATCTGCCTTCGTGGGTACTCTGGTCAATGCGCCTCTATCGGTACACAAAGAAGGTGTTCGAATATTACCTATGGAGACGGTATCTGCAACAAAGGGCACTGGTGTTGTCACTTCAGTTCCGTCTGACAGTCCGGATGATTTTGCCACGGTCAGAGAATTGGCTAAAAAGGCGGAGTTTTATGGCATCCAAAAAGAATGGGCTGAGCTGGAAATCATACCTATTATTGATACACCAGCCTATGGTAATCTTGCGGCGAAGTACCTGGTCGAGACGAAGAAGATTCAATCGCCGAAGGACACCACTTTATTGGCTGAAGCAAAGGACCTGGCGTACAAGGAAGGTTTCTACAACGGCACGATGTTGGTCGGAGAATTCAAGGGCGAGAAGGTCACCGATGCCAAAGAGAAAGTCCGAAATTCCTTGATCGCATCTGGCGAAGCGTTCCCTTTTGCCGATCCTTCAGCCGAAGTCATCAGTCGAAGTGGGGATGAATGTGTGGTCGCGGATATCCCACAGTGGTTCCTGAATTACGGCGAGAACGACAAAGAGTGGCAACAAACAGTATTGGACTATGTAAAGGACAAGAATGGTCTTGAAACCTACACCCACGAGACCGAAAACCAGTTCGTCGCAAACCTCGAGTGGTTGAACCAATGGGCATGCGCAAGGACGTATGGTCTGGGCTCTAAACTCCCGTGGGATCCCTCGTTTTTGGTGGAAAGTCTGAGCGACAGCACTATCTATATGTCATACTATACGGTCGCTCACTTCTTGCACGGAGACAAATTCGGAAAGACGCCCGGGCTATTGAACATCAAGGCAGAACAAATGACGGATGATGTCTGGGATTACATCTTCACGCGGACGAACGACGTCAAGAAGGTCTCGGAATCGACAAAGATATCGGTGGCGGACCTGCAAACCATGCGACGGTCTTTTGAGTATTGGTATCCTCTCGACCTGAGATCCTCCGGAAAGGATCTGATCCCCAATCATCTTACATTCTTCCTCTACATCCATCTCGCCCTGTTCCCCCGCGAATATTGGCCTAGATCTGTCCGCTCGAACGGCCACCTCTTGCTCAACGGGGAGAAAATGAGCAAATCCACCGGAAACTTTTTGACCTTGAGTCAAGCAGTGAAGAAGTTTGGAGCCGACGCTACACGAATAGCTCTTGCTGACGCAGGCGACGGCATGGAAGACGCGAATTTCGAAGAGAAAGGCGCCAACGCCGCTATCATGCGGATGTACGTTCTCAAGGAGTGGATCGAGGATACGTTGAAGGACGAAGGACTCCGCAAGACGCAAGGGGAGGTCATTTGGGACCAGCTTTTCGAGGACGAAATGAACTTGTTGGTGCATGAAGCGTACCATCACTACTCCGAGTAAGTCTCCAAAGCTTCTTTACGATGCCACAATGGTTGGGATCATGCTAACGGTTGCTTCTTAGCACAAACTACAAACTCGCCCTCAAATCCGCTCTCTACGACTTCCAATCCGCCCGCGACTTCTACCGCGAAGCCTGTCTCTCTAGTGGCATACCTCTCTCGCGGCCCCTCATCCTCCGCTACGTCGAATTGCAATGCCTCCTGATCTCCACCATCGCCCCTCATTGGGCCGAGTACATTTGGCTCGAGGTTCTGCACAAAGACCAATCCATCCAACTTGCCCACTGGCCCACCGACGTCCCCGACGCAGACCCTTCATTAACCGCCGCGAGAGAATATGTGAAGACGACATCCAGCAACATCACGAGCGCAGAAGCGCAGGCCGCCAAGCGAATGGCAAAGGGCAAGGCCGTGGTATTCGACCCCCGCAAACCCAAGCATATAACGATCTTCGTGGCGTCGCGATTTCCCGAGTGGCAGGATAAATATGTCGACCTGGTCCGCTCCATGCTGGAGGAAGCAACCTTGGACGACGACAAGGCTCTGAACGCGTCCGTCGCAAAGGTCGGCAAGGGGCCGGAAATGAAGAAAGCTATGCCCTTCGTCCAGGGGCTCAAGAAGAGACTCGTGGTTAACAAGGAGAGTCCGGCGGCCGTGTTCGAGCGGAAATTGCCTTTTGACGAGGTGCACGTCTTGACCGAGATGAGGAAGGGCTTGATGAAGAGCAGCGGCTGCAAGGACGTCAAGGTTGTCAGCGTCACGGACGAGAACAGGCAGAGTCTCCCGCACACGGCCGAGTCGGCTGTGCCGGGCCAGCCCACCTTCTTGTTCGAGAACGTCGAGTGAGAAAGGGGTGTGTCCCCCTTTTTTGTCCCATTTGGGTTGGCCTATGCCTTTTACCCTTTCTTTCCTTGCCTCCGTGAAATCAGTTGAGCACCAGGAGCAGGGTAAAGAACGACATGTTGACTCATGAGTGTGTCAATGCATTTTAATCCATGAAGGTTTTTAACGGGCAACAGAATGTATGGATGTATGTGTGGGTGTGAGGATCGAAGCGCTCCGATAGAGGACGTGTTTTTGGATGAGAGACACGATGGGATGAGAAAGGAAAGGAAGGGCACGGACAGACATATGATGAGAGACATGAGCACATGCTGACCATCAAGAAGGATCAGCAGGTCGAAAAGAGATGCGGAGAAGGCATGTCATGTGCATCAAGATGGACACATCTATGTATATGCTCTGGTGTTTTGCTCTGGTTTAGACATTCCAGAAATCCAATAGAGCCAAGTCCCCAAAAGGCCATCTAGACTCGATACAATGAATGGGATTGCGTTGCGCAACCAACATGCTGCCCCTAGCAGCGCTACTTCATAGCTATCTATGTAGGTAGCAATGCATCGGCTGGCATGCTATGCTTATCCAGTCTATCCTGCTGAATGAAACCCGGCATGGTTCTATCCCAGCCTGAGAGCGAACCCTGCGCCCTTCTCCTCGGCCTCGGCGTCCCAGCCCCTAAACAGGCCCTCGACCTCCTTCTCGTCTAGCTTCGGCGCGTCGCCCCTAACGGGCGCTTGGGGCGTGTCTCTCCTCCTCCTCTTCTCCTGGCCTGCTTTGCTCGGGAAGGTGGGGAACATCTCCTGCGACTTGGGACGGGGATCTTCTGTGAAATAAGGGTGGCCGAGAATCTCCGTGGCCGGGGGGCGCGAAGAAGGGTTCAGCGCGAGGAGGGCGGAGAGCAGGCGCAGACCCGAGGCGGTGAGGTACGGAAACTTGGATGCCGTGAGGGCCGAGTGCGCTGCGCTTTGGGGTCGGGACAGGAGAGGGTGTAGCGCCTTGGAGTTGGGGAGGGAGCGGAAGCCAGGCCACGTCTCCCTCGTGGGAGTGCCCACCAGCGTGAAGATCTTGGAGAGCTGGTCGACTTCGTTCTTGCCCTGGAATAAGGGTCCCTTGGTGAGCAGCTCGGCGAAGACGCAGCCAAGACTCCATATGTCGACTTCGAAGTCGTACTCTTCCGCTCCCAGCAGGAGCTCCGGGGCGCGGTACCACAGCGTCACCACCAGCTGGGTCAGTCTGGGGGGAGGGTTGGACGTATATCGAGCCATGCCAAAGTCTGCCAGCTTGACTTCGCCGCGGTTGTTCAGGAGGAGATTCGACGTCTTCAAGTCGCGATGCAGAATCCAGTTTGCGTGGAGGTACTCGACGCCCGAGACGATCTGGAGCATGAGCGCCTTGGTCTCCGAGGGTAGAAACGGCTCAGCCATGTCGTCGAGGAGGGTGCGGAGGTCGTGTTCCAGGAACTCCATGACCAGGTAGACACTGTTATGAGCCGAGATGCCCGTGGCCACATGGTTAACATCGTCTGGTATCCGTGCCTTTTCAGGAGAGATAAAGAGTTCGGGGTCATCCCCGTAGGTAGTTCAGACTTACTCTTTTAAACTGTCGCCCATAACCACCTCAAGCAGCTTGACCACGTTCGCGTCCCGGCACGCCATAAGCGTCTGGATCTCTCGCAGTCCCGTTACGGGGAAGCCCTGGTTTGTATGATCCGTCTTCAATCTTTTCAGCGCCACGATCTCGCCCGTGTGCTTCCTTTTCGCACGCGACACGACGCCGTAGGAGCCTTCTTCGATGTCATTCAGAAGCTCGAATTGATCGACATGGCCACAGGGGCCGAATTGTCTGGCAGGGAATTGCAGCAAATGTGCCCCCTCAGCTTCGATTTCCACCTGTGGCTGTAGTATTGGTGACACTCCATTCTCTTCCTCCTCGAAAGATGTTCGTGGCCGTTTGCTCGGTCGCTCATTGTCGTCGGCAGGAGTGGGGAGTTGGGAGCTTGACGGAGCGGCGTTGCGAGCTTTCTCTTCCTTGAGCCTTTTTCTTTCGGCTCTCTCCTTCCTCCGCTCTGCAAGCGCCGTGGCGGTTTCTTGGTCGGCGTCGTCAGTGGCCCATCTAGATGGTTTGGGGACCATGATGCGATACCAGTGCTCAGGAGTCGTGAACTCGCCGGAGGGTTGCAAATTCGGGAGAGTTGCAGCACTGGTGAGCTGTCGTCTGTACTTGGTAAAGTGCAGTACAGGCTGTGAAACCTTTTCCCCCCGCGCAAAATGAGACGGTCATTTCCAACAGCGATCGAAAGTATTCGACGCGTCAGACCACCAAAATATTCGCGCGTGTCCTCACGTACTAATATCTCGGGGGACATCTGTTTCTTCTGAAATATTGGCTCTTGGATATCCGGTACGTGTGTCATTGCTCTAATCTATCGATTGCGGTCGTCAAGCATATCCCTATCTGTTCCCAGCGCCTTCTCAACACATCTCTTTGCGAAGCCAGCCCAACTTCGAGACGAGCAATTTGCTCGAGGCTCTTGTCCACAATGTCTACATATGCCTTCAGCGCTTGCCGGAGAAGTCCACGGACCGCGCTCTGGTACTCGTCGTCATCATCAACCCCATACATAACACTCTCGTTCCACGTTTTCAAGGGCATGCACAGCAACCTCAGCGCAACCCGTGTACGATAGCAAGCCACCTCGTCGTCCTGCATCGACGGCGTCTCCAATACGTAGTTACCCAGGTAGCCCGCCTCTTCTAGCATCTCGCTCTGTTTGTCAGAGAAGAGGGGCAAGATGACTGCGTCCAAGGATACCTCATCCCACTTATTCTCTGCCAGGATGAAGCCATATTCCACCAACAAGAAGTCGTTCGGGTGGTTGCCGTAGGAGATGTACAGCTCCTCGCCCTTCCTGACTGCTTGGTCCACCTTGAACTCGTACCCCGTTGCCGAATAAGAGACTTTGCAGCCGCCGTCGGAGTGGTTGAAGTAGTCGCCAAAGGGAACCAGTGCCAGGCACTCGTCGGCTTCGGGCGTGTCTTCGGGTTTCATCTCCGGGGGCGTGTAGTAGAAAGTCCTGGTGCTCGCCAGAAGCCAACAGTGGCGGTAAACATCGTCCGATAGCTGCGGAAAGGCTGCGGAAACGACATTCCAGTCGCGCGAGACCTTTCCTTGCTGCTTTCTCAGAAGCGCCAATGCTGGCTGTGGTAGGAGTTCCTGGAGTTCCAGTGGCCAGAAGAGCGGCATTGACTGGTTCAATTCCTCCATCGATGGCAGCGTCGTTCTCCAGAGGGCATGACTCTCGGACGCGTCCATGGCCAATTCCGCAGCCAGGAGGCCGTTGGTACTGCATCCTTGAAGGGCCTCGGTGACGGTCTGAGGCAGCGTCTCGGCTGTCCGAATCACAGACATAGGAATGTCCAGTATTACTTCTCCAGCCTTGGTGTCCGTCAGGATAGGCTCCAAGTGGCCGACGCATCTCTTTGACCTACCTTAAGCCTCCTTTCGGCGACGATGCCTAATCCTTTACCAGGGAACTTGTGTGCCGCAACGCCATTGACCTTGATGCCATTGCAAACAGCCCATTTGGTAAGATCATGACGGGTCTCCATCTCCCACATTCTGGTCTTACGGAGATGGCGAACAACACGTCTGCAGTTGATCATGCCGACGTGCGAGGTGCCGGATCCGCTCTTAAGTGGCTGCCCAATCACATCATGAGGCCACGATCCGGACGAGCATCGAGGGACAGACAAACACCAACCTAAAGAGACATTTACAAACCTAATCGAAGACTACTAGTTGCCACTAATAGGTACCCAACTATTTGTTCTTGATGATTTTGGGCTGAGCTGTCAACATACTTGCGTCAGTGATTGCCCGTGCATCACTTGCCATCACCACGCGGTCATAGAGAGAACCACCTTGCGAAGCAATGTCATCGAACAATCCTGCTGCCACCATGGCTTCCCTCCGAGCATCTGCTCTCCCAGCGCTCACCGGATTGATGGGTACGATGGGCATCGCAACTGGGTTCTACAGCTTCAGGGCCCCAGTCGACGCCGAGACCATGTTTGGCATCCTCGTCCCGTCTTCGGTGAACACGTCCCCAGAACTTTGGACCTGGCAACAAGCACAGATCTATACCCGCGGCCTCCGTGACCTCGCCGGTGGATTGTCCATTGTGGGCATCACCGCCTTCTGGCGATTCTCCTCGTTGTGCCAGTCGTCGCCGGTGGCTGCCCTGACAGCCAAAAGATGCCTGGGCATCATCTTCTTGACGGGCAGCATTATTGGGGGAGGGGATGGTCTCGTCATCCAGTGGTTCGCCCGAGGAGATGGCACCTCCGAGAAGGCACGCGAGGTTGGCAAGAAGGCGGGATTGGGCCATCTGGTCATGACCCTGCCCATTTTGGCCCTCGGGCTCTCTTGTTTCTTGATGTGACAAGCAGAGAGACAGGCAGACTCAGACATTGGGGGACCAGGGTGGAACTGATTGACTTCTGTATCGATCAGTATGTTCGACGGGACAACTCTACTCACCAGTAAAAACAATATCATGTATATTATTTTTGTATTAAACCATCTGACCGTCTTGGCTGGCGGAGGAACTGGAAGGCGCCATACGCCATTGACATCCGTGGCTTTGGTTCCGAAGTCGGTCGGACGTCACTTTCCAGAAATGCCTGTGGCGGATCTTTGCGGGGCATATTATCGCAATATCATACTTTCGCAATGTCTGACTATTACCAAGCATCCTCACAGCGCATTAATTGCTGGACACGTTGAACCGCATTCCTTAGGACCCTTCGACAACACGCCGCTTGTCTGGCCATTGAATCCTTGGGCGCGAGTTCAAAATGGGAAGCGTGGAAATCCAGCCATTTCAGGTGAGACTTGCCAACGACACACGTCTTCTGCCGACTCTCTCCACATATGCTGACCACAGCACAGACAACTTTTGCGGTGCCTCTGCACTGCGATTCCTGCGTCCAGGATGTGACTGGCGCCTTGGAGAAAGTACAAGGTACTTGGTAGAAACCATCACGTCGAGGCTCGCGGTGCCAGAACTGACGTCCGCGGCGTGTTTTTCAGGCATCACCAAGATCCAAGCCAATCTTAAAGACCAACTTTTTTACATTGAAGGAACGGCCCCTCCCTCATCAATCGTGTCAGCCATTGAATCTACGGGACGGGATGCCATCTTACGGGGGAGTGGGAAGTCCAACTCTGCCGGTGTGTGCATCTTGGAAACTCATGCAGAAGGCGTGTCAGATCCTGTCCGTGGCCTCGCACGGATGGTCCAAGTCTCGGAAAGTCACACCCTGGTTGACCTGACATTACGCGGGGTGTCGCCGGGAACATATCATGCCACGATAAGGGAGACAGGTGATATATCACGTGGGGCAGCCTCGACAGGTAGCATCTGGGAAGCTCTCAAGGAACTAGCGAGCGTCAGGCAGCCTCGTGGCATGTTTGGGACGGTGGAGGTGAAGCAGGATGGCCGAGGCAGCGCATTCCTGGATCGCCCGGTGTCAATATGGGAGATTATCGGTCGCAGCATGGTGGTGTCGAAACAACAACCAGAGGGAGCGTTTCAGACCGAAGATCCAGATACCCTAGTCGGGGTCATTGCTCGCAGTGCCGGAGTGTGGGACAATGATAAGACCGTGTGTAGCTGTTCGGGGAAGACAGTATGGGAAGAGCGCAAGGAGCAGGTCGAAAAGGGGATGCTATGAGTTGCTGTTGGTTGTACTGGAGCCTACTCGATACATCGACGTTGGTCGTGTTCCATCGTGGCACAACAGTATGTAGAAAATGTAAAAAACATTTTCAAAAATCAGACTCTGCAATGCAATGCAATGTAATCCATCTTGTGGTGAACCGGGCCCCGAAAGATGGGGACTCGATCAGAATCAGATTCGCGTTCCGAGTTTGTCGTCGTTTTGGAACGAAAAGCTGGCTGCACAATGATGCAGTGCTGGAGCATTCCCCCTGCAGGGAGCATAGAGCATTGGAAACGGGCAACCCGATTGCTTGGGTCACAGGGTTTGGGACAAAGCCTTCTGACCGCGGCGTCGACGATGGTTGGTCGCCAGACGTGATTCTGAAACGGCACGCAGAGCGAGCGGACCTGGTTCCACTCGACGGGTTAAACATGGTTGAAACGAAACGAGGATAGCGACAGGCATGGCATGTGGGCGGGAGATGGTCGAGGATAGGGAAGAGGGAAAGACGAAGAGGTTCACTCAGGTGATGAACTCAGGCCACTTGATGAAGGATCAGATAGAGATAGATCTTTTCCATCACATTTTGGACGAGTGAGGAGCGAGGGCGAAGGACGAAGAGAGAAGGACAAGTCGGTAGTTGGTGATAGTTCGTCGTTAGTCGTACCCGGTGCGCAGAACGGACAAGGTAAGGAAGGGTTACGATGTGATAATGATAATGTTGGTTATGGTGGTGCTTAGCAGTGGGTAGTGCTGCCTTCAGCAATCCCTACTTAGGTATTAACTGCTCGGTAGGCATTGTAGGTGGGTAATAGGTGCCTCGACCTACCTATCATTTATTTCTTGTGGGATGTGTTGGGTGCTGAGTGACCTGACTTGCATCCCCCTGCAGCGCTCTCTCCGTCCTTCCAGCCTCCTAACTTTGCCTCGTATCCCTTTCCTATACCCCCCGATCTCCATTTCAGTGCCTATCCCATTTTCCCCCTTGCTTCCATGCCCTTCTTTCACCCTTGTTCTCGCGTGAAGCCCTGAAAGCCTCAAGCCTCCCCACCGGCGCCACTTTCCTGCTTCCCCTTCTTTCACCATCATTCAAGAACTTCAAGTCTTGCTGTCAGAGAAACTCCGTTCCGTCGTCCAACTTTCTTCTCCTTTTCGCCTTTCACCCAGCAACTGGCATTGCTGCTTTCGTTTCTCCCAAGCTGTGCTTTTGGGATACGTACACCTACACGCTCTTTTGGTACTCCGTATCTTCTGACCCGTCTACTTTGTATCCAAACTATTTGCAATCTATCGGTGGCATTCCGTCGCTAATCTATCCTTCACCACATCGTCAAGTTGACAGTCACTTTCATTGGCACTCAGTCAGCGACGGCATTGGCGCCGAGAAAATCCCACGTCCCCCAAGCAACCCAGCAACCCACCCCGGGCGCTTAACCCCTGGCCCTCGAACGCCCATTTTTCAGGACCTAGCGGCAGGGCCGGCCCTCGCAGCCTCGGTGCAAGCTCCAGTACCAGCCTGCGGTTGCCATCGCCTCCCACCACCCCGGCAGACTCTGTGACCGCCCGCACGCACCATTTCAATATCGTCTCAGGCACCGCCGTTTCTGTCGCAGATCTCGCTCCCTCCTGTAAACATATTGCCTCCGTCATCTATCTGCACCTCACTGTCACCACCTTCTCGACGACGATTCTGACTTCGACGACCCTCGGCCCGGCGCCATGTCGCTCAAGCAGGTACGTGAGCGCCCTTCAATTCCTCCTTCCTTGTCCTGACACCTCTGCAGGAAATCGAGACTTGGGTCGAAGCGCTTGGGCACTATGACAACCAAGAGTTCGAGGAAGCGTTGCGGATTTTCGACGCAATTGCCGATACCTCCAAGATCCTGTTCAACTGCGGAGTTATCCATGCCACCATTGGCGAACATGAAAGAGCGGTGCGTTGGGTGTAAACAGACGAGCAGGACCAAACCAGAACTAATACAAGGACTAGGTGGAATGTTACCAGCGCGCAATCAAGCTCGACCAGTATCTCGCCGTGGCCTACTTCCAACAAGGCGTCTCAAACTTCCTGGTCGGGGATTTCGAAGAAGCACTGGCAAATTTCAATGACACCCTGCTCTACTTGAGAGGCAATACATATATCGACTACGAGCAGTTGGGCCTGAAGTTCAAGCTTTACTCTTGTGAAGTTCTCTTCAACCGTGGCCTGTGCTACATGTACCTCCAGCAAGAGCAGGCTGGTCTGCAAGATTTCAATTTCGCTCAGAAGGAAAAGATGACTCCTGACCACGATGTAATTGATGATGCTATAAAGGACATGGCACAGGTGAGCATTAGACCCCATGCAATAGAGTTGTGTTGCTGACGTGGTTCAGGGCTATGTGGTGTTCAGCATGTGAGTCTCATCCCAATGAACAGCATCTTAGACGAATCACGCCGCTTATGGTTTAGAGATCGATGGACTAACTTTTGGCGCTTATAGACCTGTCGGATGTGTTTACAGACCAAATGAAGCCAAAGTCAAGAACCTCAAAGCAAAAGACTACCTGGGTAAAGCTCGACTGATAGCCACATCGAACAGTGAGAACACCGGTACCGGATTCCAGGGTGTTGAGAGAAAACAGGCCGTAGCGGCTGAGATGTCAGCCAAGGATGACCGTCCTCCGGAAAATATCAGCTATGCTGCAACAAATCTGGTCCAGCGCAATCTGTCCAGTAGAGTGGTTCGAGACCAGAGCGCTCCTCCTGTTATGAACCGAAACGTGTTCCCGCCAACACCGCCACCAGAGAACGAGAAGCCCAGGCTAAGCGGCAACGGTTCTTCAACGTTGCCTCTTCGGAGCAGTTCTATGCGTCAACCACGGAACATGTACTCCAGACCGGACATGGATCCTCCCAGACCCGGTATGATGAGTCGGGCCGCAACCTTCGACACCAGCGCGAACCCACCACCCAGCGTAGGCAGGATGCCGCCTCCACAACGCGAGAATTCCTGGCCAGAGGAACCTTCTATGACGGAACGACCACAGATGGAAAGATCGCGCTATGGCACCCAAAGGACCGCTTCTGAGCCCCGAGGTCCTTCTGTTCGACGGCAGATGCTGGACCGCTCGGCCTCACAAAGGGCACCCGCACCATTGTTCCGAGAGACAACCCAATCTCGATACGAAGACCCCAGCGACACTGTGGATGATGTCTATCGTATGTATTCCAGCCCCCGAAGGCGTCAGCGACGCCCAGAACAAGAGCTCTACTTGAACGAAGAAGACGAATATATAGACGAGGAGGAAATGAGCGCTGAAGACATGACGGGATTCGAGCCCGTCCGCCGGGCGCAGTCCCGGTCCGGGCGCGGCAGCAAGCGACCCGAAATGCGCAAGATCCGAGTCAAATGCCACTTTAACGATGACACGAGATACCTAATGATTGGCGCCGTGATCGACTTTGGTGACCTTGAAAGCAAGATCCGTGAGAAGTTTGGAATCAAGGACCAATTGAAGATCAAGATGCAAGATGACGGTGATATGATCACCATGGGTGATCAAGATGATCTGGAGATGTTGTTGGCGAGTGTGCGCAACCAAGCGAGGAAAGAGAGGAATGAAATGGGCAAGATGGAGGTCTGGATTTCATGATCTCGGGGGGACTCATGACATATCTGGAGCTGGCTTTGAGGACCAAGCCGCACACAACCAAATACCGAAGTCATATACCTGTCGTTACAGCGTCGGAGTTGGATAAGATGATCTCCCTCGCGGAATTGGGAACAACATTTGGATTGGGCGCCAGGGGTTGTTACTACAAGTGTTATGAGTGTGGCTCTTTCACTTCCATGCCTCTATTTGCACACAGACATTTACACATATCTAGGTATTCCCATACACATCTTACGAATAACGTCTGTGCTGAACACCAATTGATAGGTAGCTTGAAATCCTTACCCTATTGCCCTTGGTCTGTTTCTACAATTCCTGTGACTGATGTGACTTCCATGAGCTTCTCGAGGAGTGTTTGACAACGGCGATGTGGCCGGCCTGTCCGACACAGCAACGGGATATATCGACAATGGACAGGTACCACTACTTCTTAAAGAAAGAGTAAATCAACGTCATGATCACTGATAAACGAAGGTCACGTTCAACCCATGTAAGTGTGAATGGGGGTTTTCACGCTCCGTGTACGAGGTACAGCGTATACTACCGCGGCTCATCTACTTGCGGATGTGTATGTATCTATACTGGTCCCCTTTATTTCGCCCAAGTTCAGGCGGAGTGTGGACGGAGGATACGGCATCAAGGATAGAGTATGGACTTGTACTTCAAGGGGAATTTCTCGCAGATCCCCCGAGCCTCGATCCTATATCCTTTGTCGAGGGCTTAGACACGTCGCTGGCTGCTTCGCCTGGCTCGTCTCCTGGTCGGGAGTAATAGCTGAAGCCTGCCACGTATCGCTGCTTGAGCTTCTACTTGCGCTTCTTCTCGATTCCATCTGCTGCGCTTGCTAGTGGGCAGGCCCACCGCGCAATAGCCCTCTCATGTTCAACTATTTCACCCCAAGAAGTATGTTAGCAATCGAACGGGCGACCCGTCCAAACTTCAGACTTGCAAGTTAGGCAGTGGACAACAGAGTCTCGAGGTCTGCGTTCAGCTCCTTCAGTCGGGACAGCGTGCGCTCTATCGGTTTACTGATCGTCTCTGAGCCACGTGGTAGCTGCTGGTCAACTTATTTCCTCTCTCTCACACACATCGACCGTTCTCATCGGAAAACCCCGAGGCGGTGTATCAGGTGCTTCGATAGCCATTCTGGTTCGAGTTGTGTATTGTCCACATGTCTTTGACCAGCTTTCGTCACCCGATTCCTCCAGACAATCATCCTCGACCCTGTTGCCCAGCTGAGAGGCTTGGAGCGTTCAATCGACCAACTTGAAAGCGAAATGTTTGAGGCCACTCTTTTTGTGCTTAATGGCTCTCAATTGGGACCGTATAAAAGTTACACCGGCCTTTGGAACAGGGCAACGAGCTGATCGCTGCTGATCACTAAGCCTCCGCTTGTCCCATGGATCAATTTCCACCGTCGAAGCTCTGGAAAGTGTTTTCCGTGCAATGAAGGAGGCATCCGGAACCTTTCACGAAAGTGTGACGGACATGTCGAAAAGCTGCGTTCGGTGGATCCGACTTTCACCGTCTTCTCTTGCCCAGCTCGTAGGGTAGAGCATACGGCGGCATGACGCCGTTCCCTAACGGGGATTCTTGGCAATATAAATTCATCCGTCTCATCAGCCACTTTTTCAACGCCGTTAAGTGCCACACTACCCTGGTAGATACACAATACAATCTTCAGACATACCGTTCTCCGTCCTTGAGGTGAAACTTGGATAGATTTGGGAGGGATGCGTCCTGTAATATCACCGGATCTAGCCCTTCACTGTTCCGTGCACTCGTTCCAAATCCCTCGATGGTCAAACTTAAATTTCCAACACCGCTGGCTCGTTTCCTATCGTCTTCCCGATGCATCCCAATCTCATTTGAATGTCACACCCCACCGGACATGCGTTTCTTTCCTTGAATTCAAACCCAGCCTCTTCTCTGCATCCACTCCATGCCCCTTCCAAAAATCCTCGTTCGCCCAGTCGGCTGAGCCGCTTCTCTAATCACGAGCCTACCTGCCCACGACGATCACCTTCATCCTCTCCAAGACCCACGCCTTGCTCACAATGACACCAGGATATTCGACCTCGAACAGGATGCGGATACTCTCTGCGTCTTCACCGTTACGGGCCTGTTCGCGAATGAAGGCGTCGTGCTGGGCAACCCAGTTTGCGGGTCGCTTTGCTGGTTGAGGTGGTGGTCGAGATGTCTGCTTGTCGGGGGATGAGGCTGGTGCTTTTGTATCCCTGTGGGACGAAGAGGTTGGAGAAGGCATCTTTCATGGAATGCAAAGTCGAGGAATTTGGGATGATTGTCCCAAAGTTGAACTTTAATTCTGCTCGAAGTGCCCAAGAAGGTTAGGTTGTTGCACTGCGTTCAACACCAAAGGGGGACAGGTAAACGTATTTTGCGTTGCCGTGGACAAAGTCGTCGTATGCTGGCAAGGAGGCAGTCTCTGCTAAGCGAAGCAATCCTAGATAGGCGAAACTGATGGTAAAGTTTCCCGTAGTATCAAAGAATGATTTAGGAGGCTCACAAAATCTGTTGTACCCTGATCGCAATCCACGAGGATGGAAGAAAGAACAGGAAACAAAAGAATGTGATAATTATTGTTGAAGCAAGGGGGAGCACAACATGGAGGCTTTTGTACTTCTTGATCTCCCAGAATCATAAATCGTGGTTGACAGAGGTGGAGATATTGTTGTGCGTTCTCACCGTATGTGAGGAGGAAGTCGGGAAAGGACTTGGCTCGTGAAATGTCAGTCGTAGGCAGTTCCAGGCTACAAGACAGATGGAAAGAACGGATGTGCTTGACAAAAACTGTGGACAGAACAAGAACGCAACCAGTCATTCTCGAGATCTCCAAATCGGATGCAAAGATCAGCTTCCGCTCTTTTATTCCTCGCCATGACCCTTGAGGCTCTCTGCCAGCGGATTGATGAGCAAATCGTCCCGGAGACCCAGACTGATGAGCGACTGTGTCCGGGGGCCTTCCACTTGACAAATTGCAGGATGGGTTCACCAATCACAATATCAGAGATATCAACGGTATAACGTCGAGCGGTTCCGGTCTGGGGATCATCTGCCATGACATTTGGTGGTTGTCCACATCTTCGCCTGCTTTCTGGGTTGGTCGAGAGCCGAGGGTTCAGGTGAAGGTCCCTCGACGTCAATTGATAAGAGTAAACATTTCCCAGCCGGCAAGATTAGAATCGAAGAAACTAACAATCTTTTTCCGCTTGGGGAAGTCTCTTCATTAACCTGAGAGTTCATGCTGTTCTTTTTGCATTTCCAAATCGCTGGACACCCCGGATGCCGTTCTCCGTTTCCCCGTCATGTAGGTTGCCGATGATTCCTCAATAGCCTTCCGTTGTAGTTCACCATTAGTTGCAACCTGCTGAAGATTCCGCTCAATATGCCGCTATACTTGAATGTCTTGTTTCGTTAGAAAAGTTTTTGTCATCCGATTATTGGTCGTTAGATACTATAAATATATATATGGCAAAAATATCCGTCATATTGGTCATCGTGAGCCCCTTTATCAAAAGACGCCAAATCCCCTGGCGAACCACGTGAAGGACAAGATGGTAATTGCTGATGTTGTGAGTATCACGCCCAGTGCTTGTTTTTCATGGATGGAGAAGGCGCCATTGCAAGTGGCGCATTTGAACTCGTTCAGCGGAGTATATGCTTGCCTGGACCTTCTTAGCATTCAACGCTCTAATGCAGGAGAGCCAGACTTACGGCGTGTACATCCCAAAAACATACTGCTCAAAAGCAGCCAAAAATCCAGCGCTTGGGACATCAGTGATGTCTTGTGACGAATCGTGAATAATCAACGTATAACTGGCGACTGGGAAGGGGTTTGTGGCCGTTGCATACATCTCACCAGTGTCCCAGGTAATAGCGCCGGTTTCCTGCACTGACATGTTGGAAGAGATTGTATAGGTGGCTTGATTCAAGGCGCAGGAGGCCAATACGTCGATGGCGGATGGGGTTACCGACAGAGACGTATAGTTCCAAGCGAATGTGACAAAGTCCCCGACCTTGTAGTATTGAGGACCATCGATTGCAGCTGGGGTGATGAGCGAGATACCGCCGGGAGGGAGACGAGGGTCAATTGCAGTTGTTTTGGTGCTCTTTGTTGTGGTCGCGTTCAAAGACCCTGAGCCCCCTGACCCCGAGCCTGACACAGATGCCGACGCAGTTATCGTTGAGCCTGATCGAGAGCCTGATGCAGAGCCCGTTGAAGATGCAGATTGAGTGGCAGATGTGCTTGGGGGGATGCTTCCGGTTGAGGAAGCATTATCGCCGTTACCGTTCTGGTTCTGCCGAGGGACAATAAGAGCATCGACCTTGTTGTCAAGGAAATCGGGCCATGGCCAGGCCGAGGAAGAAGCTGCAAAGAAGAGGAGGAGGAGGGAGGAGAGGATCGAAAAGAGGCCGGAGCCCTTCATTTCGGACGGCGAAGGTGACGGACTTGTAGGAGGTCGTAGGGATCGAATCAATGGAGCAAGGTGGTTGGTTCTCTGGGGAAAGTCTTCGTTGCAACTGGTTTCAGCAACAGCATAGACAATACAGTAGTAACGACTGAATAGAAGGACTGACAATTATAGCGAGAGTCGGGTCAGAAACAGACGACGGAGTGGTTCTGGGAGTGCAGAAAGGGTGCAGGGCAATGAAAAAAGAGACGACGAGGGTTGTCTCAGTCTCACCCTGGGCGACGGAAACCGGGGAATCGCAAAACAGAGACACCAATAAGGCCTAGCCGCCACACTCGACCGAGCGAAGCCCGGCAAGCCCTGCAATCGGCTTTGCCAAAGCCTAACTGAGCCACTTTCCGCCGGAGGATCTTAACCGTGTCTGGTTTGGGCGCTGTTCTTATTTTGGTTCGCCCACCCCATCCAGTTTCCCAGCTCCCCGTGCACATGAATCGCGACTCGCGACTCGCGAGCCTCATATCTGAGATCACGTCACCGAGTATTTCAGTCACCTCTCCACACCATCTGCCTTCTGCCACGAGAAACCAACCCAGCACACGGACAATATTTGGGGATCCTCCAACATGAGCTGCTACTAAGCACACCGCCGTCTGACTCCGAACAACATGCCCGTATCCGACCCCCGCAGCGCAGGAGTCCTGCCGATTGCGATGGAGTGAACAATCCCAGCAAGGGCCATAACCGTACCAAGTACTTGGTACAGATGGGAGTCGTGAACGTGTGTCACCTGCTTTCAAGGCCACGGGTGACTTAGGGGATATGCTGTAGCCGTAGCTGGGGAGACTTGTCAGATTGCGGCTACGTTTCTCCCGTTCGGCCTGAATCAGGTGGCTTCATCGAATGACCGCCTCCTTCCAGTCCATCAGACTGTTTTCTGTCTCTGGATCTTGTCTGCCTTTCGTGCTCGTCTTCTGCTGTTGTGGCCGCATTCTCGCCAGCGGTTTCTGTCCTCTCGCTCCTTTCGAAACCGACTTATCCTGGATGCTCCCTTGCTCTTGCGCTTCAATTGCCGCAATACGGCGCCTCAGAATGTCCAAATCCAACTTCAACTTCATGTTGGGGGTTTGTCTGTAGCCGTCGTGCTGTGCAAGTTCATTCTCCCCGAAACTAACCGGGGGTGAATTGCGCTGGTCCTTGATGGCTCCGTCGACGGTTCGTTTCCTCTGCGGCCGTGTTTCTCTGGAACTGTCGCCTGTCCTCGGCCAGATCGCAGCTGGCATTTTATTTGGGAGACTTGCGATTTTGAGGTTGCTAAAGCTCGCTGTCAGATTGTTCCCAGACTGTTGCCGCTCGTCTGTAGTGCTGCTTGATGGCCCAACATTTATTCTGTCCATTTTCCATGTCGAGAGATGATCATCTTCTGAGCGGTTTGCTCCTCCTAGCGGCAGCCCATCTTCAGACATTGGTCCTCTTCGAACTCGGAACAGGTGTGCCCGTGGGAGGGTTTGAACATTGGCGCCGTCGCCTCGTGGAAGTCGCTAAGGGCTATTTAAGAAGCTGGGGGCGTCATCTCCTCGTTAACAAGTTGCGGTGACAGCACTGTGCGAGTAGAGTACTGCATTCGTGTTTAACAGACCGTGTCCGTAGTAGCTGAAGTAGAGCTGAGGGAGGATATTGGGAGTAGTATCTCATTGCACGGCAGGACCGAGGCCATTCACTAGCACGACTCACTTGCTGAAGCGTCCTCTCCGCGCGGACGCTTCATGGAAAGAAAGCCCCCACAGGATGATCTACGGACAGGAGTTCGCAGGTTCAACACAAGCGGTCGAACAATGGATTTTTGATTCAATCCAAGAATTTCTTTCATACCTAGTAGTCATACTGCGAGTGAGACACTGCCCTCGCAGGCGTATGGCGCTCACATCACGACTACACTGTATCGTACTTCTCCTCGAATGGCATGACTTCTCAGCAAAAGACCGAGGCCATCCGCAACAAAGGATCAGAAGTGTGCTGTGCTGCAATTTGAGGGCAGCAAGAAGACACCCCTTTAACATGGGAAAGATCTTATTCCCAGCAAGACTGACAGTGATTGTACGTCATGAGCAGAGCGGCTGTCGAGACACCTCTTGAGCACTTGACGACAAAGCGATGAAGTGGTTGGCCCGCGAAGAGCCAACCCGTGGATTTGCGGCTTGAAAGAGTCACACGCAAACTCGATGGAGCGCCAAAAACTGAGGGTGCTGCTCTCCCTGTGTCGAGGGGTTCACCTGTCGAATCACTGGCAGTTTCAGCTTTTTGGTGTCGAAAAGTTTCCCACACTTATCGCAGGGTCTAGTCGTTATGTCGTGGTACGAGTGAATCATCTCCTAAGGAAGATCGTTAGCATGCTCAGATCGAGCGGTGACGTGGTAGAACGCATACAAGGAGGGTTTCAAGCCGGTCTCTCTCTTTCGACTCTCGAATGCTTTGAAGAACGTCAGTGCTCATGTCGTATACAGCAGATGCTGCTGCGCCAGACTTGTCAATGACGTCGTATGTTGTGCCGCCTGAAGACGATTTCTTCTCAATTCGAAAGTCAAAGCGGGAGACACCGATCTCGATTGGCAAGAGGGATACTTCCTCGGACACGTGTATCTTCAACTCTGGGTGCCTTGCACGAAAGTCGTCCACGGTCTTCGCAATTTCGGCATCAGATTGGGGCTGAAAGTCATGACTAGCCTCTTTTCCAGTCGAAATTGATGTCTCCTCGTTTGCGGCAGCGTCCCGGAGAAGGCGGGCATAGTCGAATGCCCACGCGTCTCCACCCTGGGGGAAGTCACTGGCATTAACCGTCTGCCAGAGCTCGCGCACGTCGTCACTATGCCAGTCTTTCTTGAATCTCTCGAGGTCCCGACTGCCTGCCAGTGCTGCAGTCTGCAAATAGGCGGCGAGCTTTTCAGGCTCATAGTCACCAGGGTTATCCAGAGCGACACGGGCTGGATTGATCAGCTTCTCGGGCAGTAAAGACCGAAGGTCGCCAATCTCCAAGGAGGTCAGCATTAATTTAAGGTCTCATTGGCCAAAGGGAAATGCCAAAGGAAAGGCAAATGCACTGACTTGGCTGTACATGTCTTGCAACTTTGCGAGTTGTTCGATGATTTTGCGGTCCTCTGGGTCCACCGCCCCTGACGAGTCTTGTTGCAACATGCCTTTGAGCGCTCCAAGTGCGCAGTGACCGTTTCGAAGAAAATGTTACATTGAGAGGAAGATCAGTCTCTAGCAAAAGAAGTACAAGCCGATGAAGCGATCCAGCGACAGATAATATAACTGTCAGAATGATGGCCCAAGTAGCCGCCACATGGATTCCCAGTTCTGCAGAGACAAAGGGAAGTCATGTGATGTAGCCAAGAGGGCCAATCTGGGCTAGGTCAAGAGGAGCTAGCGTGTGTTGGTGCTGCCATTTCAACGTGGAACGCGCCGAGCTGTTTCCCTTTCTCCCTATTTCTCCGTTGCTTTCTTGCTTTTCACAACATGGAGCAGAGAGCACGCACGATTGCTACCGCCACAAACCGACCTGGTGGGAGCTGACACACGTCTGTCGCATCCTCTGTTCACTTGCGTAAGCATTGAGAGAATGTCCCCCACCGTCATAATACCATCCATCTATTGGTTGGCCAGCACATCATGATGGTCTCCACGAATCGGGGTGCCCTACAGACTTAGCCCTGTCGACGATCGAGGTGAGCCAAGTTTCCCGGAATCAAGTATACTGTACCCAGGATTTTGGTAGGAGAAGGGAGCCCTACAGTGTCGTGCTCCCCGTTCGACAACCTGCATTTCCACGTGAAAGTTTTGTCTGATCGCTCTGTCCCCGTTGCTGGGTCGGAAACAAGGTTTCCGCAACCCTAACCCCACAGAACGGTCAAGGTGTGAAGAAAAATGCATCTGCCCATTCTATACCCTCTGTGCGAGAGGTGCTCGCTCGTCTCTATCTCGTTATGTGGCACATTTCATCCTTGATTCAGGAATTCAAGGCTGTTTAGTGTACGAGGTACGGTGACGTCAAATCTCCGTAGTGCTTGGGGTTTGAAGTCGGTCTGAACGATCTGTATGCCTGGCATGCGACCGTTCTCCCCGACATACATGGAGCAGAACCTTGTTCAGATCATAGGTATGCCTTGCCGGATTTTGATAGTCGCTTGAGTACCACATTCGCTGGGGCGAATGTGACTAAGCCCGGTCATTTCTTATGCTCGTCAACGAGAGAGGTGCAAAAGGACGGTCTCTGGTGAAAGGGGGCCACTAATATCGTCTTCTCGGATAGTCGTACACAAGGGCCGTCGGTCATGGATATTCGTGGGGTTGGCAAGAGCATGGGGATGAGAGCTTACGTCAGGTTCAACCATGTTCTGCCATGGCGACGAGCATCTTCGTCTGTCCAAAGTCTATTGACATTGGTGACGTTGAGCATGGCGCTTGTCCTTCAGCAGCTCGTTCAGACTTACCGCAACCAGGATGGATACTCGGAGATAGGACAAGAGAGGAAACATGTTCGCAGTCGACCAGTTTTACCACCTCTCACCTTAGCGACCGTTTACTATAGGCGATACCGCTCCTCGAATGGGGGGGCTGCGTAGATTGATGGGCGACCACAAATTGTCACAAGAGGCATCACTGTTCAAAGCTATTCTCAAAACGGTGACAAGTACGACCAAAGAGAGTATGCTCGGGCCATAACACGAAAAGCCTCGGACCGAGCATGAGTTTAGAGATCTACGCAAGCCGGTCTACCTGGTCTCCACGAGATACCTGTTTAGGTCGTTATTGCGAGTCGATACATAGTCGTTCGTCATGAGAAGGAACACTCAGCTACACATTGGTTGTAAAAGCAGTTGCATAGCCTACGGTTGAGATTGGCAAGATGAATACCTGGAACAAGGAAGTATATGCTTGAACATGGACGTCGTGGCTGGCCTGAACCCAGGGGATAACCCATTCCTGCCCATTCTTACCCAGGACCATAGATGCGATATACTGGATTTGGTCGTCTGGCAGTCAGGCAACGAACTACGGGGACACAAAAGTCGGCTTGATACCATCAAATACTACTTCGCCTCAGCTCCATCAGACAGAGCCACCGTCAAACGCATCAGGATACGCTGATCACCCACATCCACCGGCCCTGCAGCCCGTCGATAAGCACGAAAGCCGCAACACCCTGGAGGGCCAGGAGTGGTATTCGTCGCCAATCTGATTGAATTTTATGGGTCGGTCTCGATTTGCAATCCCCCCTCCACAGATATTCCGCCTCAATCTGGCTGGCTCTCCGCTGACAAAACTGTGATTTTGGTCCTTCTGCGGGTGACTCAGAAGTCCCCTGCCTCGGTTTCTGCCTAAGCTCAAAGAGATCATATTGCGAGCTGAGCGGATGAGTTTCGCGACAAGGACGATCACGGCGGAAACAAAGAGTCTGGGCGAACTAACCATGTCTCCGAGCTCTGTTTTGTACACGGCGCAATTAAGTCCGAGTGACGCATTAACCGTCGGTCAAAAAAATGACTCGTGCATTTCGCAACTGGCTCAGCTTGCCGATCTAGCAATTACAAGGCTTGGGAGCGGGCTCAGGAACCCAGATTAGAACATTCGACGAGAGGACGGCTAGCACGCAACCCCCAGTCAGTCGGCGGGCTTCTGGGCATGCTCTACCGGCGCATGACAAACCATTGAACAAAGGGTCACTACAGTGCCCATTGTCCAGGCCAAATCAGCATGTTTTGTGCTCCTTTTCAGGGACACGGACAGAATGGCAATACAATCCAGCCCTGGTGGGTAGGTACCCGAGCGCCTCCCCGCCACATCACTGTAACCTAGGGGTGTGTGTCAAGGGCATTTCTTTGTTTGCTGTTGCTGCTTTCCTTTCTCCGTGACCAAACGACGGCAACGGGGCGAAAAGGGAGCCCTCCGGGTTTGTTTGAAACCAACGAGATGGCAACAGTCATTGGTGGGCTCTCTGTTTGCTCCCTGTCTGAAAGGCAAATCAGTGCCTAACCACACCCAGAAATTTTTCACCATTTGGGCTCTGGCTCACCGTGGTCATCCAGTCTCACCCCCAAGACGCCCTTAGTGCCCTCCCTAAACCACTCAGGGGGGCGGTGCCTTGGGACGGATAGGGTAGCGAGCGAGGGGTCCTTTGGGCCATGAAAAAATGGCAACAGAGACGAGAAAAAACAAAAAGAGTGACAGGCTAGCAAACGAGGGGGCTCCACCGCGTGTATCGGTATGCTCAATACGGGCGTGCGGTGAGATGATCAGCAAAGCAGCTGGCGCATCCGCCGGTATCACCGTCTGCATGCGTAACGGCCTACTGGTACGAGTTCGTTGCGACTGCTCAAGCCCTTCTCCACCTCCTTTCATTTCCCTTTATTCCTTTTCCGCCTTACCACCCAAGGGCCAGCATTACTCAGGTGATGGACTGGGGATCAGAGTGTGGCTCAATGCTCAATCCCTGGCCGCTTCGGCCGCTGGGACCCGCCTCCCAAGCCCCCCCAGTATCCAGCGTCCAGCGCCCTCCATCATCCCATGCAACTGTGCTGTTTGTTTCTAGCGATCTGCTCTCTGGGTCCCCCCCCCCTTGGGTCCCACGGGTCCTGGGATCATAATGGGGGATGCTGTCAGCAACGAGACCGGGGTCGTTTCTAGCCCTACGAGGATTGCCTTTTCGCCCTAGGCCATGATGGTCTATGTACGAAGAGACGGGCAGGCAGGCGGTTCTACTATTCATATGTCCTTCTTCGCCCCATGGGTTGGGCTCTTCTGGATTCGATGTTTTGAAACTTGCCAGCAAGCAGGACTATCTGCCGAGTGTCTTGAAACTCTTACGACCCATGGGATCTGGTATCTCGCCGAGGAGCTCTCCAGATATATATGTAACACGGCCAGCACCAATACTCCAGCACCAGCACCGCCAGCACCGCCAGCACCACCACCACCATTACCACCCGCATTCCCAAATTAACACAAAATCAGCAAGAGGAAGATAGTGCTTGCTGCAAGCCATGGCCGTTGAGACCCAGGACGCCATCTTCTCCATGACCCCCCCGCCCAGCGAATTTGACGAATTCGACAAAAGCGCCTTGCTGACTTGCTCACCTTCCCTCCCCGGCCTCTGCTACCCTTCGCCGGCTCCTTCGACTCGAGGCCATAATCCATCCGTGTCATCAGAGTCTATATACATGCTTCCAAGCTTGTCCATGTCCGAGTCCCAAGGTCACGATCTGCACCAGATATCTTTCGACGATACCTCGTCTGATTCTGTCTCTTTCTTTCCTTTGCCGCCCGTCACCGATCCAGCGTTGACTGCCGACTTCAACTCCACCACCACATCGTCCTCAACTGTCACCCCCAACACATACACCATGTATGAACAGAACCAGTGGTTCCCTTACTCCAATTACCCTCAGCCTACCCCGTTGCTGCCCTATGACCCAACCTCATCGACACACTACCCGACCTTCAACCCCCACCATCCATCCGCCCATGTCATTCCTCCAACCCCCCAGGACATTCAACCTACACACTTCGACTTCAGTCAGGCACCGACGTCGGGCATCTCGTCAACCCACCATCTGGCCGCCTCGCCAGTCTTTTCTCAACTCTCTCATCAGAGCTCTCAAAGTCACCGGGGAAGCGTATCATCATTGTCGCGGTCATGCAGCCCCATCTCGTCGCTGAGCAGAGGTGGTCACTCCGACTCGCTTCGCCCGGCCCTGCGCTCGAATTCAACCTCGTCGAACGCTTCTCTTCACGCCTATGGCATCCCAGTGACTGAGCAACCGTCATTGCTTGCGGCATCTCTCCATCCCTCCTCGCCGTCCGCTCAGAACGGTGGTATGGCTCAATCTTGGCGCTGTGCTTACCCAGGCTGCACGTCGCGCGCTACTTTCACGCGAGGCTGCGATTTACGGAAACACTACAACCGACATAGCAAGCATCTCTTCTGCCGAGTGGATGGCTGCCAACAGAGCGAAGCGGCTGCCGTCGCGCGTGCCAAATCTGCCGACCAGCCCCTCACGGGCGGGTTTTCCAGCAAGAAGGACCGCGCCCGCCACGAGGCCAAGCACAACCCTGGCATCAAGTGCGAGTGGCGTGGGCCGGAAGGCGAGGAGTGTGGTCGGGTCTTTTCCCGCATGGACAACATGAAGGACCACGTCCGACGGATCCACAACAAAGGCCAGCAACAGAACAACAGCGGCCAAGGATCAAGTCGTAAATGAATGCATTGATCTCATCTGACCCTATCCGATCCGTTCCAAAAGGAAAAAAGGAAGCTGAAGGTCCAAAGGGTCTCCCCTGTCATGAACGCAGTGCCACTCTTCATCTTACAGAGCATAGAGCTCCTCCCTCCTGGGACATTTGTGCTCGGAGAGCTACTGGCGCTTGCGAAAATCCCCAAATTGTCCTTCTCCAAGGCAAAAATAGGAATTCATTCGAAAGGGGGGGGGGGAGAGACAAAGAAGGAATAAGAGAAGGAAAAAAGGGAGAAGAGAACTTCTGCCCGCGAACCGGGATCAGAAAACCCCCCCTTCCCTCTAAATGAAACCATTTGTTACAGCTGAAAACTTCCTCCTCCCCTTCAAAAGTCTTGACGAGTCTCCTTTCACGTCCTCGTTTCTCATGAGGCCGCTGGGCAAAAGAGAGAAACCCAGCACTCGCGCTCTCCCGATTCGGAAAGAGATTTCTCCATTTTTTTTTTTTTTAAATCTAGGTCGGGTTACAGGAAGGGAGGCGCAACTCGCTTTTGGCTATCATGTTGTTACTTTTTCGCTTAGGAGGCACTTGTCCCTCATGTTTGCCCATATATCTATGTTCGAGCTGCGATGGGAAACGCGTATGACATGACGGGAAGGAAAGATGGACGAATTGGATGGACATATTTTCGGCAGGGTGGGCTTTGCTGCCACATTATAATGCGTTATGGTTTTATGGTTCGGGTTGATATGGGTTAACTTTTATGTTCCCCTTTGGCCCCCCTCCTCAAATACACACATACAGACTCAATTATGGTCTTTCAAACCCTCTCTTTCTTTGTTTCATCCTCTCTCTTTTTTTTCTCTCTCTCTCTTCTCTCTTTTCTCTCTCATGTTCCTTCCCCCGCCTCACTCTGTGACAAGGTGTGACAAAGGAAGTGACCACCATGGCGAAAGGAAGCAAGGATGGCAGGAAGGCAGGAAGGGGAGGAAGAGAAGGAAGAGGTAAAGAAATCAATCCTTGATTGCTAGGCCCTGGCGAACAAATTACACCATATACCAGGGACCTACTGTACCAATTGCATACCATCCCCCTGCATTGCACATATGTAACATACCCACATGCGCGGCATTACATGGCATGGCATTGCATTGGGCCGATGAGACGAGGCGCCACAACCTTTACGTCCGTTGTGGTTCCTGTTCCTGCTTGTTGGCTTGCTTACAGGGTACACAGTTTGTAGATTACCTACCTACCCCCCTACCTACCTTGCCTGACTCGCTCGTCTTGCTCTGCGCCCTATGTGAACCGTTCTACTGTGCTCTACCTACGGGCATCATGTGCTATACTCCAAAGCATTGCCCAGTGTAGGCATAGAGGTAAAGCAGCGCGTGCACCTAGTACCTGTGCGGTCGTTGTGTACAAAAAGGGCGTTTCGGAACCAAATCAGAATCTGGCGGCGGTTTGCCGATGGGATCAATCAATCAAATCGTTCAAGTCAACTCAGTATGACTGCTCTACCGGCAACCTCCTCGCACACCCAGTCAAGTCCAGGACAGGACAGTACGCGGCACACCCATCGCTTCCAGGAGCCATCACCGTATTACTCTGTATTCCTTGCTCTTCTCGGACTGAACCGCCTCTCGTGCGTGCTTGGCGAGCAGGCCGGTTTATTTGCTCCCTTCCCTGCAGGATCGTGCAGAACAGTGTAGAAAAGGGGTGGCCGGGGGCAAAAGTTCCCATTTTGCTTCTCATTTTTGGTCGCACGGGGAAAATACGAAGCATTGCTTGTAATCGTTTGGCGACATCTGACAGGTCGCAAACGGCATGTTGGCGGTTGCACAGCCAAACAGGCAGCAGCAATCGATGTCCATCCCCAGAAATATCCGTCGAATTATCCATCGAATTAGTCTCCCTTTCCGGAGCTAGCCATGGCCACTATTTTCAAAGTGAAGCACGCGCTCGTCGTAAGCACAGCCTCGCAAGGAAGTAAAGCAGCGGCACCAGCGGGGATGGCCAGGTGGACAGGTGGCTCTGTGGCTTTTCCAACACTAGCCGTACCCAGATTACGGCTGATGGGAATGCTTGTCGACGCTGCGAGATGGAGATGCGAAAGCAACGTCGCGCAGCCAAGCGACGAAGGAACACAGGCGTAAAGTATGACCACATGCGTCTGCCACCCCATTGCATACACCGGCTAGGATACCCAGTACAGCCGGCTTAGTTTCTGCAAGCTCGGCGGGTTGATTGGGACCTGGGTCTTCGAGCGTTTCTTGGAAAAGGATTACGCCCGTGCTGCATTCAGCCCTGCTGCAAGGCACGCGTAGCCAAGGACCGTAGGACGAGTTGATCGACTGCCTCCCTCGAAAGTCGCCGGACTGCCCGCAATCATCATTCGAAATGCCACTCGGAGAGATTTCTGTTTCCCTTAGGGTGCCTACCTGAGCGGGACAAGGAGTCAGTTCGTCGCCGCCGCAGACGTCCTTTCAGCTGGGCAGGTTCCACATGTTAGCTCCATGATATCCTGGAAATTTGAAACGTAGTACCAGCAGCCAGTACGGCACGACTGGCAAACAAGTCTCAAACGAGAGCCCCTCAGGAGCCTGGTAACATGCCACGCCATGGAACGACATAGTCCGAGATGCCTCTCCAAGGGACCTGTATTCGCTGGTCGAATGGTTGAAACCGCCCAGCCTGGCACGCTTTGGCGACCGTGGGGGCCAAATTTGAGAAAATATGCAATTGCCACTCTTGATTTGAGTTCGATCCTCTACATACCCAACTATCCCATCTCTGGCCATCGGAAGGCGGAAGCTTTCATAAGCAGGAGTTGAGGTAGACGGTACGCACCTAGCCCGCTAAGTCATAGACTGCGAGCAGTGGGCCACGGTGGGCCAGGGGATCTGACCAGGATGTTTAAGCAAGAGCCCGTGATCAAAGGCTGCCACTGCTCTGGTACGGCCGAGGTCCACCTCGCACGGCACAAATCCTTGCCCGTGCTCCATTCTCTGGAATCTCCAACTGCGGTGACGACGCTTCGGTCTTGACCGTAACCCGAGCTCAAATACGATCGGCAGACAGCACATTGCGGTATCAATCTGCGCTGATCCCCTCATGGCGGGCGAACACTCTGCAGCCTGCATCGTTGTGCATGGACCAGGACTCGGTTTTGTTTGTTTGTTGCCTGGATAGTCGGTTGAGCAACATGCAACCACCGCCGGCCCCATAGCTAACAAGTCCTGTGGTGCTACTCCTACCGCAGACTTCCATCCATCAGCCCTGTGCGGAGGTTCTCGCCGCATGGGCCTTCTGGAGCCCCATCCCCGTTGACTGGCTTCTTCTGTACCCCCGTCGTAATACCCAGCCTAGAGCCGATTGGGCTCCTGACTAAGCTAGTCAGCACGATCGTCCCATGGCGCCTTTTGCTACAGTATTGAGAGTCATGCGCCGGAGATAGAGGTTCAGCTTCTTCTCCGGAGCCCAAGGGTGAGAGCAAACTTGTCTCGTCTGACCTTACTTCGTCTACCAAGTAGACTTCGACGAGGGGGATAGCAGATAATATCACGCTTGCGGAATTCGTTCCCCTTCCGGATACAAATGCCTGCTGAATTACACATCTCACGAGCTTGTGCAACCGGTGTGCCAGGGTCAAAGCAGCCGAGTTTCAAATAGGGGTCCTGTAGTTGCCCGCAACCGACGACTCTGCGCAATCGTTTTCCGAAGCTTGGACGCCGGTGGGAGTCGTACAAGTCCCGTGCCACAGAAGGACAAGGCGGGGATAAGGGGTGACGTTACATCGCCATTACCATCATCATCAGCATCGTCCATGATGGGTTTGGGGAGCCAAAAGGACATTTCGGACGAATCGTGGACGCTAGCACCTTGGCCACGACGCGATTGTCCAGCCAAGTTCAGTCTTGGTCCGAACGAGCATTTCGAGTCATCTCCTCATCGATTATTGTTTTGATTGTCAGAACCTTCGACAATACGACAGGTTAATCATTCGCTGACAAGAATATGATGGGCCCCATCAGGTGAGGGCGTTTGGTGGATGGGAGATTTCCATTTGAAATCAACCTGAATATGCACACATGTAATTCCGCAGTCAACGCGAGTGGTGTTTTTCTGACCGTGTCCACCGAAGTGACTTCTCATCTGGTGATGGGAGCCAGGATGTACCAGCGACGATAGCGCGTACTTTTTTGGTGCCAATGTCCGGAAACCTGAAAAAGAGGGTCCTAAACTGCTCAGGCTCAGTTTCATCCCGGCGCCGCAATGCAAGCCTGCCGTTTTGGGTACAGGCTTGCTGAACCATGATTTGATCGCATTTTACCAAGTAGACCTTGCTTCGTGTGGCTGGACTCGGAGAAAGTTGATCCCTTTCGCCCCCAAACAGCCTCACCTTAAAAAAGTTGCCTCCCACCTACGAGGTACCTATGAGAGCAACGGAGCGGAGCCAAGGAGGGCAAGAGTTGCCGTTGGGACCCGCGTGTCTCCAGAGCTCGTCGGCTCGAAAATATGCGAGACGGTGTCAAGTTGTTGCGAGACCGGGCCCGAGACCGAACCCGAGCCCGGGCCCGAGCTCGACAAGTCGGATACTGTAGAACCTCCCGTTAAAACTCCCACCACGACGAACCCCTTTGCCTGGTAGGGCCAGATCGAACGTCTGTCCGCTTCCAACGCTCTTCAAACGCACACCCTCGTGGGGAGAAGATTGAGCCTTATGGCTCATGGAGATGCCCACTCTGCTTGAAGGCTCGAGAGTCCGTCGGTAAGAGACTGGACGAGAAATCTCACACACCAGAGTTGGATCTCAGCCAGCGGTGAGGCCTGGCGAAGTGATGGCAGTGGACACCCTGCGCCGTGTCAGGGCAAGCGACCAGCCCTCCTGAAAGGTGAAGGTCTTCCCAAGCATGGAGACTTCATTACCAAGAGCCTCTTCCATCGTTCTCGACTTCTTCCGGAATTATCGATGTTGTTGCTGATTTGATTAGATTGGCCCATCATACATACAGTACATACATAGCATGACGGTCATCGACTCACAGAGCACTGGAATTTACCGGCGGGCTGGGTTGACTTTAGTCAGGAGAACGCCAGCTCGCCGGTGAGCACTACGCGTACTACTCCTCCCCCCTCCTCCGACAACACCGACCGAACGGACGCGCTGCGGAGCTGCGTGGCGACGGTACTGTACCCATAGTAGAGGATGAATAGGACTGGTTCCATGGTCTTCGCTCCCGTGTCTCGCTTGCTTATGGTACCGAGTTTGGGCTTGTACTTTGTAACAAGTTGCCGAGAAGAACAACGGGGACAAGGGAAGGTCTTCGCCGACTCGCTGACGACGTCGGCCAAGTGTGATGAGATGCAAGGCAAGAGAATTGGGACAATGGTCGAGGCCCAGGATTCGCTGATTGCGGGTCAACGGCCTCCACGTCCTATTTTGTTTTTGTCTTTTTTTTTTTGGTTGGAGGTCCCTTGTTCAGGCTAGTTTATCTGGTTTATCCCTCCTGGGTGGTGTCTCTTTCTCTTTTTTGAATCCTGCTCGCTTACCGCATGCAGGTGCTGTTTTCACTCCCCGCTTCGAGTTCCGAGTTCGAGCGAGCAGGGGGCGTAGAGGGCGTAAAGGGCGTACTGGGCAGTGGTGGGGCCGACGGGTTACAATGTCAGCATGAATCCTGCTTGGCCTTTTGGAAAGATACCCCGGACGGCTAAGTAATCAGCAAGTAATCAGCGAGTGGTGGAATACACAGGGTTACTTAAGATGGAAGAAGCCGACGGCAAAGGAAGGTGGATCTGTAACCCATGGTGAGGAAGCAGGCCACGGCGCCGGAAAAAAACCGTCCTCTTTGCGATCGCAGGTGGTGCTGGCGATGAGGGTGACAGTGAGCAAGGAAGGATGAAGTGGTGTTGGTGGTCGATATTTACTAGTGAGGCAGGTCACTGCTGTCACTCTAAGACGAATCTTACGCGGTTTCTATTATAGCTTCGCCTTCCCCTCTGCGGCCTCTTTGAGCTTCTCTACCAAGCCATACGCCCACTCACCGTACGCAGGCATTTGCGCCCCGTAATTTTTGGCAGTCATGCCGCTGGCTTGCCGCCGGGCGTACCTGGCTGCAATACCCTGCATTATGATTGCGCCTCTGAATCCTCCAAAAGCATTGCCCCAAGCCAGCTCATTCGCCGGGTCATAGCCAGAAGCTTCAGCGTACCATCGCACAACCTGATCTAATGTGGGAAGTCCAGGAGTCACCCCATCTTTGAAGGCCTCTGTTTCACCTTGGGCGTGAGCGGTTCCCAGATTCCGTCCTACCCAGCTCCAGGGCGCCGTGAGATTTACAAGATCCGAGAGAGGGTGGCCAATGGTGGCCATCTCCCAGTCCAATATGCCGATGACTCGAGGCTCCGTCTTATGAAATACCAGATTATCGATCTTGTAGTCTCCGTGGATCAGCGTGACACGGTCTTTGGGCTGGGTCGACTTTTGCTTGAAGAATGCGACCATGTCATTGAAATGCGGTATCTCTCCCACGGGCTTCTTCGTGTCAACATCCACCGCTTCCGCTTGCACCTTGGACAATGTCCCAAATGTCTTCAGCTGGCGGTCGTAGAAGTTTCCGTGACGGCCAAAATCCGAGAGTCCAACTTTTTTGAAGTCTACCCGATGGAATTTTGCCAGAGTCCGTACTGCATCATGCCACCTGCACAGAATTAGTCTCTGGGATTGTCTCTCCAACGGCCGGGCATCCACCTACATTTCCCTTCGCTCTTCGGGACTGAATCCAGGAAAGTGTGGCTCGGTCACCATGCGCCCATCCAGGAATTCCATGATATAGAATGCCGTGCCGATAACATTGTCGTCTTGACACAAGCAGTATACTTTCGGCACGGGCACATCAGTCTGGCCCAGGGCGTTGATGATCTTGTACTCTCGGTCGACTTGATGGGCGGTTTTGGAGAGTAATTGGCCGGGAGGCCGCTTGCGCATCACATACTTCGCGCCCGTTGCGTCTGTGATCTGGTATGTAGGATTCGATTGGCCAAACCCGAACTTGGAAAAGAGTGTTAATACTATTGACAACGTGGAATTGCGTCAAATTTGGGAGGGGGCCTATGTACCTGCTTCAGCCCGAGTGGTGTCTTGATCTCGGGGACATTACTGTCGATGTAGCGCTCCAGAGAGGCCAGGTCAATGGGCTGTCGTACTGGCCCTGCCATGGCTGTTTGCTGCTCTTCCAAGGGAGAGAAACAGAGGCCACGCTAGAGCTCTGCACCCAAGCGCAGCGGAAGGTCTGCGCTTTTTCACATCGCTAGGTTGTCACCAAACGAGACCGAGGCGATTCCTTAACCTCGGTTTGCACAAGACCAGCTGCCGGATGTACTACGGGTCGAGGGGCCACAAGGATCGCACGCCCCGACGTAGCGCTTAGTACGGCGCATCACCGAGTGCATTGCCGTGGCAATGTCAATTACCCGAAGCGCAAAACGCGCTCCTCACGCGTCGAGGGGTTACATCTCCTCCCTCCCAATCAACCTCCAACAAACATCCCACATGAACAATGACGAGAGCATCGACTCCTCCACCCCCGGAACACAAGAACGCAGACCGTTTGCCTCCTTCGCTGCCCAACTCTCCATTACCCAAACGTCTCAAGTCTGACACTCCATCCAAGATGTCTTCAAACGCCGACTCGACGACGACAAACACCACCGCGGTCCCCAAACTGTCGTCAACATCCCAACCGCCCCTTTTGATCAAGAAGCTCTCTGCCAATGCTTCGACCCCGACCCGAGGCTCGGCGTTTGCCGCAGGCTACGACCTCTATGCCGCCAAACCCATCACGATTCCCTCGCGAGGCAAGGCTCTCGTCTCTACGGATCTGTCGATCGCCACGCCGGAAGGAACGTACGGTCGCATAGCGCCTCGATCGGGCCTCGCTGCAAAACACTTTATCGACACGGGAGCCGGCGTCATTGACGCGGACTACAGAGGGGAGGTCAAGGTCCTGCTCTTCAACCACAGCGAGGTCGACTTTGAGGTGAAGAAGGGCGACCGCATTGCTCAGTTGGTCTTGGAGCGGATATACACTCCTGATATTGTCGAGGTCAATGATCTGGAGGAGAGCGTCCGCGGAGCAGGCGGGTTTGGAAGCACGGGCTGAGCCAAATCCAGACCGGATTGCAACACACCGGATTATGTCATTTTTGGGGCGCTCTTGGGCAGGCCAAGGTCAATAGAGCAGACAAAAAGGCGTCAGGATATTTTGTGCCATGTGTACCTCCTTGATACAAGAAAAGGATAGACCGCTCAGAGTATGGGGAAAGGCTCAGTGTGGAAAACGGTGTAATTGTCTCTGGGTATCAACTGTAGGCCCTTTTTCAGACTTCTAGGCTTTATTTACAGCTCCATTGCCTCAGCCTTGTACCGGTCCTCGGGGTGGACCAAGTCCTTTGCATTCCTGACCACCCTCACCTCGGCGGCCTTGTTCTCGGCTAAAAACCTCCTCTTGCCCTCACCCACTGTTTCCCCTTCTCCCTCCACGCCTCCCACGCTGGCACCGGGACTTCTGCCGAACATGGCCATTTCCTCATTCCTGGCCGCCATGGTCTTCTCCAAGATCATGTGCATGCTGTTCAAGACCTTTTCCGTGGCCCTCGCGAGGGGCAGGTCGGTGGCTTCGACGGCATCATCGGGCATCCACGAGGGCCTGTCTAGCAGCTTCATCTGTGCGCACGCCTCGCGCAGCCTCGCGACCATCAGTGCCGCAAACATGTCCCCCGTCCCACTGAAATAGCAATCTAGCATTGGCACCTCGACCTTGAATAGCCTCGCGCTGCCGTCTTGCCTTTTACTGCTCCCGACGACAGTCAAGGTCCCACTCTCCTCGGTTTCCTCTGCCTTAGCCTCGTCAGTGACGGGTCTTGTGGAATTACCAACCCGCACGCTTGTCACCACCACGTGCCGCGTCCCATACACAGCGTGCAGTGTCCTCACGGCGTTGGCTAGTCCGCTCAGGCTCGAAATGGAAACGCCGCTTAGAAGTTCGGCCTCAAATTGATTCGGAAGAATCAAGTCGGCCTCTTTAATGAGCTGCTTATACGCAGGGACAATATCCTCGCTGACGTATAGTCGGCCCTGATCTCCCATCACCGGGTCCAAGACCCAGAAGAACCCTCCGGGATGAACGGCGGAGCGGTACCTCAGGTCTCGGGCAATGGTGCCGATGGCCTCGACGACTTCGGCGGATGGTGAGTAACCCGACAATAGGACGTCAAAATCCGTCAGGTAGGATTGGCGGAGGCCGTCATAGAGCTCGCGGATCTCGGTGGCGGGCGTTCTCCGACCCTTGAATTGGCGGTATCCTGTATGATTGCCTTTGAAGGGGCGGCAAGAAGGGTTGTAGTCAGACAACGGGTCATATTAAAAGGTAAATTTATGAGGCGGACAGAGAAGGAAGGGGTGTGCTGAGCGAGGCCTGGTTTGGCAGCATATGATATCAGATCTCGGAGGGAAGTGGGTGGCTTATTGCACAGCCTGAGAGCCTACCGTGGATGTAGACCATGCTAAGGAGACGGGGGGAAAGAAGAGAAAAAGTAACTCACTGAAATGCACTGTATTGATGGCTCCAACATCACATCCAAGCACCTGCATCACAAACGTGGCCATCGTATTACCGACATATCTGAAGGGATAGACAACCCAATAGACTGTCAGTCACCGACTTTTTCGTAGAGACGTACGAGCGTCCGACTGAGTGGCATAATCATCGTCGTCGTCACCACCATCCTCATCCCGATGGTTGCCTCGACAATCGGGGCCCCCGTGCGCCGTAGAAGGTAAGGCAGGGCAGACAGAGAAAATTTCTTGGTGCAGACGCAACTCACCCATAGACGACCTTGCCCGTTTGTCGCGTCAGCCCTATCTATCCGTGCCAACCGAGAGTTTGAAGAGTCTAGCCGGCCAGATCTCTCCCTCCCAAGAATGAAGAGGGGCAGGGAAGGGGGGGAGTGGGGGGGGTCAGGGTCTAACAGTGGAAGCAACATACATGGCTCGCTATGGCCAGGACTTTTGTTTCTGGTATTGACACTTCATGGAACCTCATTTCATCTGGCTCGATTGTGGTACAGGGGGCGGTGGAGATCTCAGAAAAGAGAACAGAGTTTGTTCAGCGAGCACAATGCACTTGGTGTCAATAAAAAGGTCGGCTTTTGTGTCTATCTTAGAAGGAGAAGAGGCGATGGGAGTAAAAGTGGCCACAAGGCATGGGTGGGTGAGTATCAGAATAATTTTCTTGAGGCTAGTATGACGACAAGTCTCCAGACCCGCCGACAGCCTCGCCTCTCGCCCGATAAGCACAAGGCTGAGGGACCCAACCTTTGCTCGGTTTCGATCCCGCACACAAATCACCACTTTACAGACATCATGGCCGAAAATTGCCCGCACCCATCATCATCGTCTTCTTCTTCACCAATACCAGCTAGTTCATCGAATATCCTGCTCGTAAATCAATTCAAACACAAGGGGTGATTGTCATTGATCATGTGCGGAATCCGCAACAACCACCGTTGATCGCATCACGTCATGGTAAATCTGTGGGTTCCAGGATAGTATTTGCCATCGTCGGCTCCCCATTTTGCTTGTTCACTCATCATCACCAATCTGTAAATCACCCAGGTCAGCACCTCGGATATGACGCCGGATGTTGCCGCAGAACATACCTTGGGGGCCAGATAGAAACGCAAATAGCTGCTTCCTGACAAGTTGTATTCCACCAGAAGAGGCACTTCCTGGGAGAGGCAGAGTTTGACCTTCGTGGAGAGGCTACTTGCTTTGCAGAAATTGACAAGGTATTTGAGCGAAAACGTCAGAGAGACAGGTTCACTTAGAGCGATCTTGACTTCTTGATCCGGCTTGTCCACGGACGAGTTCTGTCGAATGGTGACGCTGCCGCTTCCAATGTCGCCTTGACACGAAAAGCGAACGCCATCCTTGCTTGCCTCGATAGACACTAGAAAACGTCAGTATTCACTGTTTCTCCTGCGCTCTCTTATTTTGTTGCCGTTCCCACACACCTGATTCCGACATGGCAATTAAGTCGCGGCAAATGCGCTGAAATTCAGCACTGGGCATCTCAATTGTGGCCGAATACTCCGTGTCAGGGATTCCCAGATGCTCTTGGTCAATATCCATCAGCTTGATATCGTATTCACTGATACGATCCGTGTCGCTGCTCTCAAAGACGAGATTGACGACGTCCGGAGAGTCTTCAGCCTTGATGGTGAGAATGTCTTCGTTCTGGGCGGCACGGATGACTTTGGTCAGGGAATTGAGGTTGATGCCAAGGGCAATGTTGCGGTCGCATCGGTAGGGAGAGAACATTTCTGCTTTGAGCATCATGGAAACGAGAGCGACATGGGAATTGTCCATGGCCTGCAGGGCGATCCCGGAGTCATTGCAGTCGAAGTTGCAATCTTGGACAAGATCTTTGATAGCGTCCACAACCTGCAAAGCCTTTAGATACTGGCCTGGAAATAGAGATTGGAATAGTACCTTCTTCAGCATCGCTGCCTGTTCAAGACGTGCTTCCAACACTGCGGGGCGTTAGTCTCGTTCCTTGTGTGATGTCTCTGGTCCTCACTCTTTGCAATTGGTTGTGCTTTAACCTTCCGGTCAAGATGAAAAGACGATGATCAGTAACTCGGTTTCTCGGGTAGACTTGGAGGCTGGACAATGCAACAGAACAAAACAGTCGCAAGGGACAGGTCAATCTGAATTTCGATATGGCAAGACACGGGTCGCGATGCGCGTTTGAGCTAAGCTTCTTTGGGGCAAATTGATTTCTTGTCTTGGTGCTTAATCACGTGATATCAAACCCTTTCTGCCGGCCCATCCATTTTCCGTACCGAATTGAGCGTAAAGCGTTATTTTGCGGTTTCAAATCCCCCAGGAGCGGCGCCCGCCGACCTAGTCGACAACAGCCAACACGGCTCACCAACTGCGTCATCATTACCCGCGAGAGGCATTTTGGTATCGCGTTGGCCCTCCTGTCTGGGTCCCCTTGGCCCTCGTTCCAGAATGCCAGTGCCTTCTGCTGTCCCTACACTACCCTTGGGCCCTATGTCAACATCACAGAGATTCCCTTTAGGTGCAGACGTAATTTTTGTGCTTAGCCAGCGTTAATGCTCATTCCGGCTGTACGATTTCCGAGTTTCCAAAGAAATGAAAGACACTCGCTGTATCTGATCTCACATAGCCCAGCGTACATCGAGACAAGGTAGTCAGTACGCGATACATACCAATCACTCTTCAACATTGTGCGTCACGTGGAGCGCCCTGTTGTTGAACTTGGCTTTCGGTAATCAATAGGCAGCACTCAGCCTCGTGAGGCTACGACCGTACCTGAACCTCCCCGTATTCGCACCACTGTGTTCGCCACTAAACACTGGCCTATCTGGACGTCCCCATTCTCTGACAACAGGGAGACAAGGGGGGAAAAGTCCTCCTACTCGTTGCAGCACCTTTTTCATAAGACTTAAGTCCATTCGGGATGTCCGTCCACCACAACAAGCTACGCCTGGCCTTAGAGCCACAGCGTGAATTCCTTTCCACTCAAGGTGCCCGCCCTGCCATCCTAATATGGGTAGTTCGTTACTGCCACCGTTACACTGGATGTGCGGACCTTTACCAGCCCTGTCACCGGAACCGCATGTGCCCGCATCTATGTTAGGGAGAAAAGGGGCCAACCGGACCGACGAGTAGGCATTCATGGTGGACGAGGCACGATGGAGCCTAACGTGTGGCGATATGGGTCCCAAATATATGGTAGGGATGCCATCTTTGGGGCTGCGACGTGGCCTTGGTGCCATCTGCACCACGTGGGCTCTCGCCCCTGTGGGGGGAGATGCTGGCCTTCTGTCGAGGATACGGCACACCTTTGCGAAAGGGCACATATCCTGAGTTGAGGGAACCTAAAACAGGCAGTGCGCAGAGAGCATCGCGGGCGGAACAGGCAGAGGTATAGTTGACGTCCAAGGGGGCCTCGTAGATCGCATTGGCCGATTCACCAAGGATGGGTCGATGAAACAAGACGAAAAGTTTCCGTTACATTCCAAAGATTGAAGAGCTATTGGCTGTGACTTTCTGGTTAAAAGAAATAAGCAC